AAGTGTTTTCGAGAATTCCTAGGTTCGGATGAGATTCATTGAACTATTCAATGTCATGTTTAAATCTCGATATGCCCCTCTTGTTTGTGACTGGGATGCCGAGGATCACAAAGCGGGTGTGAATTACCATGCAAATTCACATGGTGCCTTCATTGTAACGATCACCTATTCGATGTGCTGGTAAACCACACACGCTCCATCGAACTATGATGAACAATGAATCACCCTTTGCCACCTTCGCTTAGAACCAATTAGTGTGCCGGTAAACCACACACGCTCCACTAACATCTTAGCAAGGTGCAAAGTGTAATTTCATGGGATTGCATCAATTCACTTTTCCTAAAGTAACTAAGATTGGGAAATTTTAAAAAAAAATTTAGTTACTTCGTATTTCTTATTATACTTTTAATGCGAGGATGAGGTTGCCCTATCCTACCCGTTCGGCTAACGACCCTCCACCAATCAAGCAAGCGGTGGGTGTGAGTGTACACCCATTAAGCGCCATTTTATAGGCCGCAACCTTATACCCACCTTATAGATCGGCTTCGTGAATGAGGCCTACTAGCGGTAAGACTAACATTTAGTTATACATATATATATTATTCTAGTAATATCATATAAGTATAGGGCTGCATTTTAAACTTTTCAAAATCTAGGGTTTGAAATTTAAGTTGTCTAAATTAAAACTTTTAATCACAAATATAATTTTCAAAACTTTAGGGTAGGTTTTAAACATTTAAAACATGAAGGATCAAATAACAAATAATTCCAATTAACAATTAATATTCTAATTATCTTTATTTGATTTATCTTGATTTCTTTGAAGATAATTGCCAAAATAATTAATCATTATCATAGAGGGAAATTAAATATTTTATTGGATGATGAATATCTTTAATTAGATCAAGATAATAGTCATATTTATCAAAAAATCGGATTTACATTGATCTAATATGATTAAGGTAAGTTTCCATAAGATAATTATGAAAAAATCTTGAATCTGGCCATTCCTGACGCCTGGACTCGCCAAGTGCACAAGGGGACTCGCCGAGTCAGGCCTACTCGACGAGTCCACCTTGGAACTCGCCGAGTCAGTGACTCAAAACCCAAAAAATCGAATTTTGCAGGTTTGTTTCAGTTATTCAAGCAACAATTTAAAGAAAACCAATCTACGCTCTGATACCACTGATGGGTTTTTGCCATAAGAACTTTCCTATGTGCGCATGCAAAACCCTAATGCTTGGATCTAGGCTTTCTAATAAACATGCTTTTGAATCCAAGACTTATAATGGCTAATTAGGTTAAATAACAATATTAAAACGGATCTAGAATCATACCTTTGAATCCCTTGTTGATCTTGTTTGTCTTGGAGCTTCTAGAGTCACAATTGTCACTCCTCTAATGACTTACAAACACCAATAGCAAGCAAGATGATTTAGAAGAGAGGGGAGGGGAGGAATTCAACCAAAGGTTCCTTGCTTAAGGTTGTGTGTCGAATTCCCTCATCCATAGGGTCTATTTATACTATTAGACTCCTTAAGGGTTTCACCCTAAACCCTAATTGGATAATCTTCTCTTAAGGCTATCCAAATCCATTCCATAGATAACCCTATGGACGATTTGAGCTATCCTAAAGCTCTTAGAATCCGTCCAAGGTGTATCCTAATGGATTTATAGTCTAAAGCTTAACTATCAAACAATTGACAGTTTATACCCTCTTATTTAATTAATCTCTTTAAGTCACCAAATTAATACCAATTAATTTATGACTTATATTAATCAAATAGCCAAATTATTATTCCTTATAATATTTACTCTCTCTTAACAAATCATCCTTCAAGTTGCTATGGTGAAGGCAACCCAAAAGGACCATGCACCACCGAATATAGTTATAGCCTTAGACACTATTCCAACATACATTTCTTTTTATTTATTTAGACATATCAATATAATCAATAAAACGACGTGTCTTTCTGTTACTTTATCATACTTAAATTTATTATGTTCGTTTTTTATGATATCATGTTAAATAATCGGGGTCCTTGATTGTGTTTTCTTTATATGTTTTACACCGTTAAATAAAATGTCTTAATCTCCAATCTTCTCTAATCTCTAAATATTATTAAAAGAGAACCTTAAATTCGATGCTGTTATAAATCAAGGCCATTCATTACATTTCAATCCTTAATTTCTAACCCTTGAATTATTTGCTGACATCATCGTTTTACTGGTCAGAAGTTCAATTAATGGATTTGATTTCATTATGTTAACTGTTTATTTGATTGTTAATGTTAACTTTTAACCTTAAATGTAAAATTAACTGTTAACAATGAATTTGATTTCATTATCTTAACTGTTTATCTGATTGTTAATGTAAACTTTAATTGATTTTTATATGTTAACCTTTAATATAAACTTGAATTGACCATCATTCGGATTCAAAATTTAAACTTGAACTGATTTTGATTCAAAATGTGTTGATTAACTCTCCATCATTTATTCATTTAAACTTATTCAAATCTTAAGCATAAATTAACCGTGAGATTTTTCCCATAAAAAAGTATTTGATTTTAATCTTTCTCCCTCTTCAATATCATAAATGAGTTTAGGGGTATATTGGTCCATACATTAATTATCCAGTGGCAGGATTAAAATATAAATTGGAAAAATCACCTCCCTGCAAAATTAAATACTATTTATTTTTATGTTTTAATGAAAAAAAGAAAATAGATATTAGACTCACTAAATTACAATGTTATTTGTTCCAAAGACTTAGAACAACCAAAAGTAACAAAATAATTTATTTTAGGATAAAACCTCCAATAGGTGGAAAATATATCAATTTCACTATATAGGGGCAATTATGTCCAATAGGTGGAAAATATGTCAATTTTACTGTGCTGGTCAGATATGGAAAATACAACCGGAGGGTCAAATATGTCAAATTGACTATGTAAGTGTAGATACCAACTCCCAGAAAAAACCCATGAAATCTACAAAAAAAAAAAAATCCACTTCAAATGAAAATCGAATCAAAGAGATACCAACTCCCAGAAATAAAAAACTTTTCTTATTTTTACATTGTTGACATAAATACCCATCAATCTGATGGACTTTCCCATAGATGTTCTTTTCCATACTACCATTAATCAATACAAAAAAATTTTAAAATAGCCTGCTAATTCATAACTTTCGAGCGTTATCTGAACCAACTTATACCATAAAGACGAAAATGCCCTTCAACCCCTTAAACTCAAACTCAAATAACTTAACTTACCACATAAACAGCTGTATTATTTTTCAAAAGTTCTTCAAAATGGAGCTGAATTTTCACACCTTCGGACCCGCTTCCTGGAAACCAAAATCAAATACATCGATAATAATTTGTTTTTTTATAAATAATCATGTGATTATTAAAATAAAATGTATTATACCTTCAAAACTGCAATTGTCATGTCATAGTTGTTGAAGAGAAACACAATCTGCAGTTTTGGCTTTCTGAAGGTTTTTGCAAGCTTAATAAGCAAGTCATCTATAGCCATGTTCAGTCTTTCCATATTCAGATCAAGCTATAAATCAATTTGCAAAGTGTTAAATATAATATAATAATAATAATAATAATAATAATAATAATAATAATAATAATCAGTTGTTTGACTGATGACCTGGCCATCACCATAGTCAACATTAATTTGAATAAGTGAAGCTGTAAATTCAGTATAATTATACATAAGGGTAAAAAAAAAAACCATATGTTTTAATGAAAAAAAGAAAATATATATTAGACTCACTAAATTACAATGTTATTTGTTCCAAAGACTTAGAACAACCAAAAGTAACAAAATAATTTATTTTAGGATAAAACCTCCAATAGGTGGAAAATATGTCAATTTCACTATATAGGGGCAATTATGTCCAATAGGTGGAAAATATGTCAATTTTACTGTGCTGGTCAGATATGGAAAATACAACCGGAGGGGCAAATATGTCAAATTGACTATGTAAGTGTAGATACCAACTCCCAGAAAAAACCCATGACAATGTCGGAACCGTCTTGAGAACCGGAATCGGAATGGGTTTCAGCTGACTTGGGAAATTAAAATGATGTAATAGAGATAAATAAATGAAAATAGTATGAATCGACATTTTTTCTTCATAGACATGAAGATACGATGCTGATATCAGGCACAAAATTAGGGATGATATTTTTTTTTTTAATTTGGAAAGAAATCTCACAAAAACTATGAAAATAAGGAAACAATATATCACGAATCCGTTAATAATATCTATGAAATTAGGGACAAAAACTCATCATTTTTATTGTTTACAACATACCTCAGTAATCCCTCTCGGTTGATATTCCCAAGTATTCGATTTCACCATCTTCTTAACCTTGCACCTGTTCTTGATGTTGACTCTTTGAGTTCCTCACTGGCACCCGTTCATCCATTCATACTACTATCCGAACCTCCGTCTTCTATTGTTGCCGTCATCTTCGCCAATTTCTTCTGTTATTCTCGACGTCTTCTTTTCTCTTCAAAATTAGATCTTCAAGATCAGGTACGTTTATTCTTTTCAATACTTTGTCTTCATCATCTTCGATTTATACTGTCTGTATTATTGATTTTCAATCGGATTGTAACTTTTAAGTGATAAATAACAATGTTCCTAAAATATCTACGGTTCACAATGTATTAATATGAAAAACAACTTATTTTCGTTTTTAAGTTTAATTCATTAATATCATATTAAATATAAATATTTATATATGTAGTTTGTTTTTAAAATTTGAATCAATGTCTTTTGAATTCTATTTTTTTTTTTAAATTGACGTCTTTCAAAGTGTTATTAAACTTTGTAATTTTGCAATCTTAGATTCGGGTTATATATATATATATATATATATATATATATATATATATATATATATATATATATATATATATATATATATATATATATATATAATTTCAAACAATATTTGTTATTTCTCCAGATAAATGGTTCAAACCACAATTGCTAATTGTAGCAACTCTTCGTCATCGAGCATCTACTCCGAAAATGAAGATTTCCTTCATAATTTTGATTTCAAAAGTATTGCTGATCTCAAACAAGTACATCAGGTATATATAAATCACTTTCATTTACAATATATAATTTTTTAGAAATTGTTTTTCTATTATTTATATCTTATTCCTTGATTATTATTATTTTAAACTAAAATTTAAACTTTCATTAACATTTTTTAGGAAAAAACTTTAATTGTTGTCGGTACGATTAAGCAACTATGTGTTGAAGGGGAATGGTATTGTTTTACTTGTATTAGATGTCAACAAAAAGTCGTGAGACAAATTTTAATGCATCAAGATCAGTCTCAAGATAAAGAAGTTTTTTATTGTAACACTTCAAGCTGCATAAACAAAGTCATTTCTGTTGTTCCCAGGTTTTGAAACTTATTTTATAAATATTATTATATTGTTCTGTTAAATTATATAAATTTATATTACTAAATATGTTTACATCAATGCTTTCAGTTTTAAAATCACCATTAAAGTTGAAGATATTACCGGTTCAGCGTCACTTACTTTATATGATTCTGACGTAAATAAGCTTATAAGAAAAAACGCACAAGAGTTGGTTCATGAGTTCCATAAGGTTATACATATTAACTTCATTTACTTATAACAAAATTATTATTTTGTATATGTATTTTTATAAACATTCTTTTTTTTTTAGGTTGGTAATAATGAAATTTATCCATCTGCACTAAATATACTACTGGAAAAAAAGATGGCGTTCAAAATTCAAATTACATATGACAATTTGAATAACAAAACAGAAGGTTATGTTATCTCAAGGATCACGTCTAACAATACAATCATTGATGTATTGGAAAAAAAAAATTAAAATGGATCTGGTAAAATTCTTTACCCTCAATGCTACAAACAGTATACTTATTATCAATTAAAATCATATGTCATCAAATAACAAATTTTAAGTTTTTCTAATATTATTATATTATACTTTCTTTCTTTTGCAGTTATCGTTATTGACCTCTGAACTAATTATTGAAATTCTTTCACGAACATCATTACAAACATTTGCTACTGTACGTTGTACAAATACATATTATGGAAATCTAACATACAACAACTATGTTCTTCATAACTACAACCGTAGAAATAATGTGGTTTGTGGAATTATCGTTCAACAAAAAAAACCATGGAAAAATATAGAGCGTCAGTTTCTTCCGTCTTTTGGTAGCAACAATCATGACATTGATTGGCTACCACATACTTGTACTATTTTAGCATCATCATTGTGTGGACTCCTTCTTTATGAATGCTATGATCCAGATGAATACGTTTCGAAGATTTTATTTGTTATAAAACCAACGACTTCAGATGCCAAATGGATACCGTTTCCGACCTCTGAATACACTGCAACAAACTTTGCTTTGGTAGTTATCAGTTCGAACCCGTTACATTTCAAGGTCATTCGATTGTCATACACAAAGCCATCGTAAGAGTTTATATGTAGTACATTTTATGTTATTAATTTACTTTATGATTTACTTATATGCTATTTTATTTGTAGTGATATGCTTACGGAAAAAGTGGACTATGATTACTACAACATAGAATTGTTTTCATCTACTACGTGGCAATGGAGGGAGTTTCAAAATATCCAGTTACCATCATTTGTTTATCCTGTCTCTGATGAGGCTGTTACAAGTGGCGGTGCCTTATACTTCTTATTATCTAATGATAGCGTACTGCGATTTGATATTTATTCAGAAGAACATATACTCATATTTTCACCTTCTACTATTAATGAATTAAAACCATATGCATCGAGACTAATCAACTTTCAGGGAAAATTAGGATATCTCTCTATAAGTGGAGATACTTCGTGGGCTATTTGGATTTTCATTCACAATCGGTGGGTTAAAGTAGATGATAGTACTTACAATGAAAGTGCACATGAATGGTGGAATTATAGAAACAATACCCTATATTTCTTTAGAGGAAATACAATTGAGTATGAGGTTCCGGCACATCATTCTCAACAAGTTTTTTCAATCCGTTCTGATTTTGATACAGTGACTATGCCAGGTCGATATTACTGATTATATATATTTTAATTTGCATTCGAACATAGTTATTTTTATTGTAATGAACTATTTTAAGATTTTATATTATTCTATGATTTATTACTTTTTTTTTATTTATTGTTTTAATTGTTATGAAATTAAAATAGCTATTATAATGTATGTTAATGAATTTAAAATAGCTATGGTAAACTACTTTTAATTGTCATGCTTCCTATGATGCTTCCTATGATCTAATATAAGTTTACAATGTTTTTAAATATGTTCCTGCGTGGTTAAACGCGGGTTTTAATCTAGTTTTATAAGGTATAGGGTAAAAGATAAATAAGAAAAAAATGTATTTAATTTCTCTTTTCTGTTTACGTTTTCAATATTGGACTGGATCGGAACAAAACAAGTCGTATTTTGATGTTTTCTCTGGTTTGAACTTGGAAACGCCCAATAAAAACGAGAATGTTTAAAATCCTGAAGGCTTACCACAGCAGCATCTCCTGTCTGTATTCAGTGTTCGCTTCCTAGTCGAAGCCCTAAATTCTCGAACTTCCTTCGTTACACTACCAGAAAGAATAAACCTTTGGATGATGGTTTCTTGACTGTGGGGGTATCTTATCTTTCATTAGTCTCCGATGCAAAATAGGTGACATTTCCTACCCTATCGATATTCCCTGCAATTGCTCCATTATTCTTTTATCTTATTAAATTTAGAATCGAATTCATGTTTTTGTTAGATTTATATGATTTCTGCATGGCTTCATGTGCTATTTGCTTTTGTTTTGCTAAATTGTTCCTGCGCAACACTTTTCCGTAAGTTACCTGCTGTTGATTAGGATTAGCTCGCCTAGGGTTTTGTTTTATAGGATCGCATTATTGTTTTCGATATATATTGGAAGCAACTTTTGTAAATTGTTGACGATTTATGTGAATCATCTATCTTTTTTGCCTTGCAATGAGTGTTCCAGCAGAACGGATTTTTTTTAACTGTTAATTAATACTTCATATATGCCCCGAAACAATTAGACCCATACGGAATGAATGACTATCCAAGAAATTCTGTTACCTTAATGTATAAAACAAGCTCAACAAGTAGGCAAATTAGTGATATACATGTAAAAGAATTCATGTAAACATGAATTTGTTACCTTAATGGACCAAGAATTAATCCAAATTTTGTATGTTTGGAGAAACTTTTGCAGTTATGGTGTAGAATTCAGTCATCCAATCATAGAGCAAGAACACACCATTGAAACTTTGGAACGGTGATTTTCATGTCCACCAAGTCTTCAATTGCATCAGTAATGGCATGGAATTGGGTTGTTCAATCCCTTGCAATGTTTAAGCAAGTTGATCAATCTACATTAATTGGTATGTTTTTATTTTTTTATTTCCTTCCATATGTTCTTTAGGCTTCTCCTGTAATATATTCATCCTAGAAATGGATTTATTATAATAGTCATACTTCAATGTTTTAGGTGTGGTAAAAAAGGCTCTTGCAATTTCTGATGATTTAGGAAAAGATTCAAGGGAGATGGTGTCCTTGAGAATGTTAGAGAGCATGTTTATTCATGGTAATGAAGCTACAATTGATACTCATTCTACTCAAAATGCTAAAATCTCTTTCGATCCATCAGAGCAATGTGAAGATGTATTGCACAGGATATTAGAGGAGGTAATGTGACTATTTTTTAGAAAAGTAAAAACAAGTCTAATAAAATAATTTCTCTTGGAAACTATATATTCAACTTATTATATCATATCATAAATGTAACAGACATCTGAACCGATGAAAGAATTAGAAAGGCAAAAATGGAATGTTCATCCTTTTGTAATGCATAAAAGGGCTTCTCTCCCCAAAAGCCCCTTGGAAAAGGTCAGAAATAGTTACTTTTTTTATGCATTTTATCATAAATGATCAAAAAGTTTATATTTTGTATAATTAAACAGCTTAAAGAAGAAATTCTTGATGGAAGTCATCCGCTTCTTGCATCATTGAAAGAGAGGAGTTATTTAGAAAACATAAATATACCTGAAAATAGTCAAAACACATTCCCTGAGGTCAATGTCCATTTTAATGACCAAACTAAAGTATCTAAAGATGATTTGGCATCAATGAATCTTGAAAACGAAAACAACAAATTACCAAAAAGCCCGTTGCAGAATCCTGATGATGTAGACAATTCCACTAGAGGAAAAAATACAGAGCATACTAAAAGAAAAGAAAATGAAATGCCTAAAGAACCCCCTGTGAAAGGCTTAGAGGAAAACATGGTGATGGATCACAATGAGCAGACTCCATCAAAGAATCTTGAACAGAATTGTGATGATCTGAATGCTGACCATAGTCAACAAGAGTTGACCGATGAGAAATGTGATGATGAAATGACTAACATTGCTGCCATGAAAGAAGCTTTCTTGAACTCTCAACATACACTGAGTCAAGATTCCATGGCTACAATTGACTCCACTGAAATATGTCTTTGTATGAAGTGTAACAATGGTGGTGAGTTGTTAGTTTGTAGTTCTGACACCTGTCGGTTAAGAGTTCACGAGAGCTGTTTGGGATCTACTACTACCACACTTGACAAAAATGGAAAGTTTTTCTGCCCATTTTGTGCATATTCTCATGCAATATCAACATATCTTGAAGCTAAGAAAAAAACTTCCTTGGCTAGAAAAGACTTAAAAGCCTTCATGAGTTCAGGAGTCAAACATAGACCAAATAAGTCAACACAAACTGAATCTCCAGGTCAAAAAGTCAAAGGGAATGTCAATGGGCATACTGTGAGGAGAGATACAGAAGATCACACACCAAATGAGCATAAACAAAAATGCAATGAAAATGAAAGCCCTATGTCAAAAACTCACTCAAGAAGATGCCGTGACCAAAAACCACAGTAGTAAGTTTTTCACCTCGAAAAATTGCAAGAAATAGCATCCTACTTTACTATTTTATAGATTAGGTTGACTTTGTGGTTGACTTTTATGAACCTTGATTCTAATTTGTAGCACATCTCCAACAATTCCTTTAATACGAAGAAACAAACTCCAATGGACAATGTCAGAGGTGGAGATATTAAAGGTTTTTTTTTTTTTTTTTAACCAAAAGCATATTATAAAACTTTAATCAGAGTTTATTTAGTTGATGTGATTTTTTTTTTTAAAAACTTTTACCAGGAAGGGGTGCAGAGATTTTCGAGTAATAATAATAGTAAAGGATTTCCATGGAAGGATATTTTGGATTTTGGAGGGGATGTGTTCCACAAAAGTCGTACTACAATCGACTTAAAAGATAAATGGAGAAACTTATGCAAAGGAAGCCCTGCCAAAAAGAAGCAAAAACTGTAACATTGTGCAAAGCTCAGGGGTTGTTAGAAGAATAATATTTTTTGCAGCAGACTGTATGTAAATATTTTTTTGGTTTTTTTTTTGTTTGTTGAGAAAGATTGTGTTGTATGTTGTAAATATGATGAGACATGTGATCTATAGATCCACTTGAATAGTTTATTTAGGGGAGTATTGATTGGTAAAAAAAATGGTAATGCTAGTTAATTTAATTTGTGCATGGAAATGCATGGGAAAAAAGTGATGTGGATTGGGATTGAAACCGTGAGTAGTCAGGGGAACATGTGAATGACTACAGCTCGTGATTCTTTCCAATGTTTTGAGGTGCTTCTTCTACATCATATATACATATTACTACATCATATATACATACTATTCTCTCGATAGATATACATAGTGTGTGTAGTGTGTGTGAGATAGAGAATGAAGTCCACAAGTAGAGTATCCAATGACACAACTGAGTGAGTATGCATTCATTCATACGAGACAAATTAGTCAACTACTTGCCTAACTTCATTCAAGTCCTAGACATGCCCTTGAGGTTCCCAAAAATGAGCACAATAAATTTTTATTTTTCGTACAGAGACGAAAGAAAGATCAAAGAATGAATTCATGTTCCATTTGATACCATTTTTTTAGTTGGGAGTAAAAATGTAGAAAATTGCAGTTTAATGCATTATGCATGTTGAATTTAGGTTGATTTATGTATATTAATTGAAATATTATAATCGATAAATGTTTAATCACAAGCTAGGAACAAAAACAATCCAAGTGGATAACCTGATATACAAATGTAACAATCAAGGAAATTAAATATTTTATTTGTAAGTTTAATAATCTTATTGTTGCCGACTCGAGGAGCGAGAGTATATATGTAATTAGATAGAAGGAAAAAACATTATTTTTAAATAACATTATCACGACAACGCTGTATGGTAATGAAGTTTTATTATTTATTCTTATTGACTGATTTATCTTTTTATTGTTTTATCATATCAAGATACATACGTTTATACATATGTTTTTTTGGGTAATATGTTGAATAATTTAGTGTGACACCATAAAATAATAACGACTTTTATTTTCTATTTTAATCAACCATTTTATTTTTTATTATCTAATTAATTCCGGTTTAAGAGGTGTTAAACTGACATAATTTTTCATTAACTTGTTTGGCAGCATATGTACTTCACAAAATAGTGTTCCAAGATTTTTCATCTACATACATAATGATATGTGTATAACATGTTGAATCATTTAATAAACAATATACTAATGCATATGGTAGATACAATGTCATGTAGGTAACTGATCAAAAATCTTGTTAGGTCAACAGTTGTTAAATCGGAAATAAGGTATTACAGTGTGTGTATGTGGTGGAAATTTCTTAAAAATCGGATTTCATTTACCAAAATAAAATATAAAAATCGAATTACATTTAAAATCAAATTATAATAATTTTTATCTATACATATTGCCTATAAATTTAAGCAAAAAAAGTATTAGTAGTATTTTTGGGCTAGGAAGTTGGTATAGTGAAACAACAGGCTACTAAATCCAACGGTCACATGGGCTTCAAAAAGCAAAAAAAACAGCTTTGTGAAACGTGATAACATTTAAGCTCCAAGAGCCAAGAGCCAACACTCACACTCCATCTCTATACATAATAACCCCCGCGCCCTTTCACTCCCATCATCTCACTTCACTCACCTCCGATCTCCTTCTTCATTCAAATTAACCACCATGGATAACTGCCGTCGAACAACAGCTCCCTTCAAACCATGGAAGAAAGGCCCCACCAGAGGCAAAGGTGGACCCCAGAACGCCGCCTGTGAGTTCCGCGGCGTCCGTCAAAGAACTTGGGGCAAATGGGTGGCGGAAATCAGAGAACCCAAGAAACGAACCAGACTATGGTTGGGTTCTTTTGCTACAGCCGAAGAAGCTGCCATGGCTTACGATGAAGCTGCCAGAAGACTTTATGGACCTGATGCTTACCTCAACTTACCCCATCTTCGATCCAACTTCAATCCTCTTAACAAATCACACAAATTCAAATGGTTTTCTTCCAACAAGTTCATGTCTATCTTTCCGGCAACTGGTTTGCTTAATCTTAATGCGCAACCGAGTGTTCATGTAATCCATCAGAGACTTGAAGAACTGAAGAGAACTCAGGTATCGTCGTCTTCTTCATCCAGCTCCAACAGTTCTTCGATTGTTGATCAGATCAGCCATGATCAAGTTCAAGTTACTAGCGAGAATTCGAAAACCCATCTCAAAGAAAGCGTCCAGAAGCCTCAGATCGATCTCAATGAGTTCCTTCAGCAACTCGGAGTGCTGAAAAAAGATGAGCAAACGGATAAAGTTACCAGTGACGAAAGTTATTGTGGATTTAAGGAGATTGAATTGTCATCGTCTTCAAAAGCAGTTGTTGAAGAATCAGATTTGGGAGAGGAAGATTTCAACTGGGATGTGTTGAGTGAGATACATGGATCTCATGATGATTATAATAATCAGATTTTTGATGTTCATGATCATGATCAGGAACTGGTTTTGCCCACCACTATCTGGAATTTTTGAAGACCTTTCTCACTTTTATAGAGCTTTAATTAATTCGGTGTAGTATGATTAAATCTATGGATGTAGAAATGGTTTCTTGAGATGCATGCATGCTGGCTGCATTAGGTATTGGCTCTCGATGCATACATGTATATGCATGGTGTTATGCGATAATACGCCATGCATGGGAGATCATGCATGTCTCTCATATCGTTGTATAAGGCCATATATATTATCTTTGTTGGTAATTTAATATCATCAATATTATTTAAGTGTAATAGTATAATAGGATTAAATTTGTTGACCAAAAGTGATCTTGTAAAATATTGAAAAAGTTAGGATAGTATAAGAGTACTTGTTCAAGTTTTCCAGTATTCAAAGTACACTGTTATTTAGGGACGAAACCCCTAAACGAACGGGAGTCTGGGCGCAACTCCTAGGGAGCGGGGTCCAAGGGGCAGAGCTCCTGGCAGTTTTCAGATAGGAATCATATAGCTGTTTTTGGTTATTTTCTAATACATCTTCTTGAAGAACATTTTCACATATATTCTCTGATTTTGTTCTATGAATTTCATTCAATTGAGTATTCGATCTGTACCATTGAAATATTTCAATTTGATAGTAAATCACGACTTTTAGAAAATCCAAACAATCTGTTCATCCTCTATTTCTAACATCGTTTTCCATTATTAGTTTTTTTTTTTTTTTTTTTAAATCAATGTCCATCAACCTGTCGTACTAGACTACTAGCAAATCATCAAAATACCAAAAGTGATAGCAACATCTAGATGCGCTTAAATCCGGCAATGAACCTCGCATAAACCGGTTCTCCGCTACCACGGGTTTAGTAACAAACTGGGCCAAAACAAAACCGGGCTTGATCACAAAAATACCCTTTAGATTTGGTCCTCGCCTCCTAGGTAAAAAAACTTCCAAGGAAAGCCATGTAAACCGAATTGTTTTTTTTTTTTTTTTTTTTTTTTTTTTCCTGAACTAAACTAGTAAAAAATAGATATTTACAATTTTTTACCTCCAGGCTCCAACCGAAATACTAATACTGAATAGTTATTTATAAGGTTATCCTGCAATAGTAATATTTCATTTGTTTCCAAGTTGTCCACAACTATATATATATATATATATATATATATATATATATATATATATATTAAAGTTTTGAAAACAAGAATGCAAAACAAATAACCAAAATAACTCTTTGATTAATTGAAAAATCACTCAAAACCAATGTTTTTATAATCTGTTCTCATAATCATAAACTCGATTATAGATAGGTATATATATATAGCCTAACAAACCAACTTGTATTAGACTAGGAAACCTATGACCAACTTGGCATAAACTAAACTTTCCATAAATTAGATTGTTTGGCCTCCAAGTCCTCATCGACTTAGGATTCCAACAATCACCCCCAAATCTCTAAGTCCTTCTAGAGAATTCTTTAACCCCGATCAATATCCTATTATCTCTTTTCACCACCCCAACCTCTTTATCAAGCTTGTTCTGAGAGCAGCTTTCCACCTAACAACAAGACTAGGTCACGACCACATTTATCGTCTTCCGTCACCCGCAAAACGAACCAAATCAAAGTCACCCACTTTGACATCTTCTCGTCCATTTATTTTGCGCCTCCGGTTGGTCTCTCTCTACCTTAGAACCAGCCCGATCAAGAAAAATTGAGGCTCCTGTTGAGATGCCTCAACTCGTAATCAAAAACAATCTACACCCCTTTGAAACGAACCCGGTTCCCGCTGCGTCTACCCCACAACAAAAGGCTACGGTATTCTTGAAACCGACTCTCAAACCGGCACCGTCTTCACCCCGCTCTGATACCAATTAAAGTTTTGAAAACAGAAATGCAAAACAAATAACCAAAATAACTCTTTGATTAATTGGAAAATCACTCAAAACCAATGTTTTTACAATCTGTTCTCATAATCATAAACTCGATTATAGATAGGTATATATATAGCCTAACAAACCAACTTGTATTAGACTAGGAAACTTATAACCAACTTGGCATAAACTAAACTTTCCATAAATTAGATTGCTTGGCCTGCAAGTCCTCATCGACTTAGATTGTTTGGCCTCCTAGTCGTTACCCGCGCAAAGCGGCGGACGACAATTAATTTCATTCAATAATTAGTTGAATTTGGAAACATGTTATATTTCAACACAAAACAAATACATAATTCAACAATTAGTTCAGTTTGTGATGTTTTAATCATCATCTCATAATAACTTAAGATAGACAAACTCAAAAAAAAGCTACATATAATTATTTATTGGTTGGCTATACAATATTAATCACACAACACTTCATTTTATACCACATTTGAAATATACAAATCGTCATCATTGAAGTTTTGGTAAGACATTTTTTATTGCCTACAATATCAAAATATCATTTACTGTATAATGCTCACTGCATTTAGATGAAATTTATTTTTGAAGTTTTGTCGATTGTTGTAATTTGATAGGTAAATTTGAGGTGATAGTTTGAGAATAAGTTAACATCGAAGTTTCTTAAACAAATTAGTTTTTAAGAAAATAGTTGTGAATTTTAAGGGAATTTTTAATATATTTTTAGACAATCGTTTTAGTCAATTTTATCATGTTTTATTACCATTTCATTAACAAACTATCAAAATTTTAAAATATTATTAACGATAAAAAAAAAAAAAAAAAAAAAAAAAAAAAAAAAACAATCGTGATATCAAATAAACACGATACCCTTACGTGTGTTTTTGATTGTTAAAGTTAAAACTAATTACATTTCAGCCTTTTGGCTTTTACACCCTTTCAAAAGCCAACAATATCGAATGGTCAATTAAATCATATAAACTGCTATGTACATTTTGGTCAACATTTTTTTCATTTTGATTAAAATGTGTCTTTTAAACAGCACCATGATCATAACATGTTTTCCGCTAGACATAGACTTATTAATAAGATAAGACTCTTTTCTCAACCACAAAAGAGAAGAACTTAGTTGTTTAATGTGTGAATGAAGAAAAATGAAAAGTAATAATCTATACATGCCAGATAAGGACAATCCTAATTAAAAATCATAGTCACTTTGACCTGAAACAATTAAATGCAATTAATGATAAATAAAAATATCTAAAATCCAAAATAATTATCTAGACAAATAAAGAGAGAAGATGAGAGGCTCATGGAATATTGAGCATCTTCCATGCTTCTATAAATTCAAGTTACTTTCATTTGACCAAAGAGCTTGAAATATATAAACTCATCTGTAAAAGGCAAATATTTGAAATCATTATGCTATAAACAAAGATATGATGGTAATATGTTGTCACCAAACACAAACCTTATATGGACAATTTTCATATTACTTTGAGAAACAAAACAATAAAAAAACCGAGCTTTCATGGCATTCATAAAAGACAATGTACCCTAAGTAACATTGCAACATCAGGAACATAGAAACTTTGGATTTCCTAAATCCTAATTAAGAACGTACCCAATAACTGTTTGTCAGAAAGTTAAAACAAGTTGTTGTTGGACAACCCATAAAAGCTCACCAACCATATCACATTTTCATACCTTAAACATCAACCAGTAAAATTATGGCCAATTATTTGAACTAATAAGTTTAAATATAAATACTCAAACATTAATATTATAAAAACCAATCTAGTTAACCAATCCTAATTTTTAATTTGAACAAAAGAGATTAAACCCCAATTATCAAAATCAAGATTTTTAAGAGAGAAAGAGCGGATAAGAAAAATAAATACTCTCACCTCTCCACTTTACTTCTTTAGAGCAGCATCTATGTTACTTCTTTTGAGAAGCATCTGCATATGTATAGTATATAACTAGGCATATTTCACAATGTTTTGTGAGACTAAAATTACAAAGTGTAGTGTAAGACCTCAATGAAAGAATACCAACCTACTTTTATTAATTTCCATGATGTAGCATCCTATTGCATTATCAAATCATTTTAGCAGCAAAATGACAAGAGAATTGGTCATTACAGTCAATAAAATCCAATCTACCAACCTAACGGACTGGAATACTCAAAACCATCACCACTTGATAGCAGCTCTTCCACCGGAAAGCTCTTATTTATTTATTTTTTAAAATTCTCTTTCAAGCATTTCATCAAATGGTTTCTACGCATCTATAAACTTGACAGTAAGTACAGGTTCTACAATAAAGATCAGATGTAAAATACAAAACTAACTTGTAAAACATCAAGAATAATGAAGAAAACAAAAAATCAGTATGAAAAACTAATCTCCAGCCACCGGATTTTCATCCGGGTTCATCTTTTCGTTTCCTCTCATTAATAGAGCTAGGGTTTTTCTTATGAATATAGAGAAGGAGAGGACACTGGTCGTGGTGCGATGGTTAGTAAATCGAGAGATCAAAGAGATATATGAATTGTTATTTGTCCTTGTTAACAAACATTCGCATAGATTTTTATTCGGTAAGAAAGAAAAAAATAAAAATCTTAGATTTGTCACTTGCCTTCTTTAATGAAGGGAGATGACAGCTTCGAATTGATTTCAGAAATGAATGGATGTGAAGGATCTAAGTCGATATAGTTCCTATTAAAAGGAATCGTTGGAATTGAAGAGGCGGAAACGGTGAGAAGGAATACAGGGTTCCACATATCCTCGACGGTGCTTTCAGTTCTTGAAATATTTTAGTGTATACCTTCAAAAGATCATTCAAATCAGAAAAACTTCACCTATAATTGAAACTTGAAATTTAGGTGAAACTTTGTTATGTGTGTAAGATTTGTATCACATACATTGTCCCAAACTCAAATCGAGCAAAAGAAACTCTAGCAAAAAAAAAATCGTTGCTTATCTTCACCCTGATTTTTTAGAGTGAACATGAACAAGGGGAGAGAGAAAGAAAAGGAGGCTAGTAAATTTGAAATGGCTGTTATTAGTGTTTTTTAATAGATTGCTCAGTGAATATTGATTAACATTGACCCGTTCAAATCCCATACTTTAAGCAAACATTTAGGGAATTCAAATTTACTTAGTTTTTCAGCTTAAATCTTACCGTATTTGAATTATGATTGTTATTATAGCAATAATTTTTTGTATTTTAAGCTTAAATATTTTAACGTCTTAAATGTATTTTTTTAAAATAGTAAGGTTGATATAATAATATAGTAAGATATATATAATGCAATCTTAGATCGAACAAGTAAACTTTTTTTTTTAATATTATATTTTTGGCTTGGGTTTCAAATTTGATCCAAACATTATTTTTTATTACAAATTCAACCCAAATTTATTTAATTTATAAATTATTTTTCTACAACTTTTTAAAGAATTTTTACAACCTTTTTTAGATTTTTTTTCTTAATTCTTTTATAATTTTTTAAAAGTATTTTACAAATTTTTAAAGAAAAATTTACAATAATTATTTATAACAAAAGTTATAAAGTTTTTTTTTTTTTTTAATTTTTATACAATATTTTAAAGTTGAATTAAAATGTTTGAACCATTTTTTACACTTTCATACATTTTTCAAAAACCTGTTTTTAAACCAAGTATTTTGTAAATGTTTTAATTCTTTTACAACTTTTTTTTACATTATCATATAATTTTTTTTATAAGTTTCATACAATTATATATAAACAAGTTAAAGACATTGTATTGATCGAAAAAATTTAAAACTTTTAGTTAAACTTATAAAACAGTTGTAATATTTTTAAAACATTTATAAAATATTTGTAACACCTGGAATCCAGATGACCAATTAAAGGAAAGAAAAAACCTAAGTCAAAAGGTCTACTCGTCAAGTCCAAGAGGGAAACTCGGCGAGTAGAATGAAGATTAGGATGCGAGTGGAAGGACCTACTCGACGAGTCGGGGAGGACTACTTGACGAGTTGGTCTGAGTTTGGGAAACCCTAAATTCGGGTTTTGTACCATATTTAAACATCCTTAACCCACACCCCTGACCTCATTTACAGCCTCCATTGTCCAAACTCTAATCCACAAACCCTAGTGCCTTGTTTGAGATAGTGAGCCATTATTAAGTGTTCTTGAGTGCCTTGAAGATTAAGGAAGAAGGAGGAGCTTGGGGAAACAAGAAGAAGCTGGTAGATCCAGCCACATCACCTTACTTCCATCATTTTCTAGTAATCAAGTTTCTATCTTGGCCATTAGTTCATTAGATCTCTTCCTTTCTCTTTTATGATAGTTTATGGTCCAAGAGTGATAACTTTTGGGATTTGGACGTCCCAAGCAAGGATTCCATCAGATCTGGGATCACTAAGGGTTGTTATGGCATAAAGGTGCAAACTTTATGCCATTGGAACCCTCATGCAAGCTTTAAGGAGTTATTATGGCCTTTTAATCCCCAAAAGGCCATGCATGGAAGAAAAGACAGAGACTTTACGTGATCAAACGATGTCTAAGGCATGGATTTATTTTAGTACGCCTTAGTTTAGAATAATATGTCTTTTGGACAAGAATCTATGTCTTAAGGAGTTAGGGTTTGAGCATAACCCTTGTAGGAAAGGAATTAATGGGTAACGTTGGAAACTTTACCCCTTTAGTAGTCTTTCCAGAGTGTATAAGGAGTTTGGAGGGTAGAACTAGAGTGTAGAGGAATTAATCTGTTAAGATGGTCAAAACTGACCGGGAGACTCAGCGAGTCCAGGGAGGGACTCGACGAGTCGAAGCGAGTTGTCCCGTTTCTGTTCATGCTAGAACTCGACGACTCTGAGGATTTACTCGACGAGTTAGATCGTGATTTCAAGATCCTGATTTATGGAACTCGGCGAGTTGAGTGAACTCGGAGCGTTGACTTTGACTTGACCAAGGTTGACCTAGTTTTACTTTTGAGGGCATTTTAGGACTAAGTGTCATTTTGGTACTGATAGCTCGAGGAGCAGAAGGAGCAGCTGTTCAGAGACTTTCAAATTAGCGGCCAGAGAAGTATCAGCAGGATGTCAGCTTATGAGGTGAGTTTCCTCTAGTAGGAACAGGTCGAAGGCACCAATCCTGACCCATTTATGTATGTTAGTGTATATCGGATTTAGATCCGATGTCGGGGTTAGCCCAATGTAGTTTACATGTTTTGGATTTCGGTCTGATGTCGGGTGAGGCCCGAAGAAGGTTTATATGTATGTTATTGAACTACGCCTCGATGTCGGGTGGGACCCGAAAAAGGAATGCATGCTTAGTTATACTTGTTGTCTTTGTGATACTTGTATGTGCCTGGTATGGAGATGAGTATGGACGGGGGCTCGTATCTCATCACTAGCTGAGTGTGGATGGGGGTCCATATCTTATTAGTAGTAGACTAGGGGCGAGGCCCAAGATAGGCGGGACCTTGAGACTAGCAGTTATAGTGTTGTGTTTTGTCTGGTATGTACTAGCTTGATTATGATTATATGTTTGTATGTATATAGCGGGTTGGGCCTAGTAGAAACAGATTTGTATACCGAGCGGGGCTCGATGTCAGGCGGGGCCTGATGCCGTATTCGTTCGATGTCGGGCGGGGCCCGAGGTAGCGGGCTAGGCCCAATGCTTGTAGTATGTGATTATGTGTATGGTATATGGTAGTTTGGAGAGACTCACTAAGCTTCATGCTTACAGTTTTCAGTTTTGGTTTCAGGTACTTCCAGTTGCAAAGAGAATAGCTCAGGATGACTGCATTGCACACACCAAGATGTTTTAGCCTGGAATGATTTACTCTGATATTTTGACGTATGATTTTGATACGGTATTTTGTTATGATGATTTGAGATACATTACTTATGTCTTTTTATGAGATGATGAATGAGAATTATGATTTTTATGAATAATTAAAATGAAATTTTTGGACCGTATGTTTGGGATGTTTCAATATTTTTGTTTAAAAGAATGCGCATTAAAATTGTATAAAACTGTAAAATAAAATTATAACTCAAGTTTTAAAAATTGTATTAAAAAAATATAAAACAGTTGTATTATTTTTTTGGAAGTCAGGTTAACAAGTAGTAGATATATCTATAAAAAATTATAAAGATGTATGAAAATTGTTTTACATTTTATTCAATGTTTTAAAGTTGAATTAAACCGTTTTAACCTTTTTTACACTTTCTTATATTTTTCAAACTGTTTTTAAATAAAGTATTTTGTAAATGTTTTAAAATTATTTTACAACTTTTTTAAAATTTTGATATAAATTTTTTTATAACTTTCATATAACTTTTTCTTAAAAAATTACAACATTTTTTATATTGTTGTATAAATTTTGTTTTATAACTTTTTTACATCGTTTAGAAATACTCATTGAAGATAAGTCCCATAAAACCGTAAACAAAGTTTAAAAAATGTAAAACAAGTTAAAACATTGTATTAATGTAAAAAGTTAAAACTTTCGTTAAACAAATAAAATAGTTGTAATGTTTTAAAAATATTTATAAAATATTTTTGTTTAAAAGAATGTGCATTAAAATTGTATAAAAGTTCAAAAACAAAAAATTATAACTCAAGTTTTAAACGTTGCATTAAAAATATAAAACAATTGTATTATTTTTTTCAAGTTGGGATAAATATTTCCATAAAAAAAATTATAAAGATGTTGTAAAGAAATTTAAAAGAACCTATATAAATATTAAGAAAATTTTTGCTAAAAAGGTTGTAAAAAATCTTTGAAAAGTCTTTAAAAATATAATTTGTAAATTAAACTATATCTAGAACGAATTTTAAATAATAATTTAAAATTCAAATCATATTTATAACAAAAGTTAAAATTTTGAAGGAAAGTATAAAATTAAAAAAATGTTTGACTGATGAACCCAAGATAAAACGTAAACATATAATGAGGGAAAATTGAGTAATCTAACATTTATAAATGATTTTTTTTTTTTGAAAAAAATGACTTTTTTTTTTTGTAAAGTAACCACATTCTCCGAAACACATTGTTCCGGAGAGGTTTCCGGATTTCTAGAGCACGATTTCGGACCATGGTCCCAGAATACATTTGACTTTTTTTTTTTTTTTTGTGTGTGTAACATGTGATTTTTTCTTTTAGTATAATTTTTGGTTTTATAAAATGTATAAGTTTTGCTTTCATAAAATGTATAACTTTTGGTTTTATAAAATATAAAATGTAATTAAAATCAACAAACAACTAATAAATACATAAACTAAATAAGAGTAAATTACACGAATGGTCCTTATGGTTTAGGGTAATTTAGGTGTTTGGTCCCTAACTTATTTTTTTAACTTGGAAGGTCCTTATTATTTTTTTAACTCAAGGAAACCATAGGGACCATTCGTGTAATTTACTCACTAAATAAATGATGTGTCTATAGGTCATATTACAAATACGATGTTCAAATTATCTTGGTCTTTGTACCAAAAAAAAATTCGCTAGTCATTTTCGATAACTCATAGCCCCTAGATCGGTTTTACCCTCTATAGAAATCGATTTCTTGGTGATCAATGCCTCCAGGAACCAATACAAAAACACTCCGCAATCCCTTTTGCTGTCAATCTCTTGTAGTACATGTGGGGCATTTTCGAGAGTCAACTTGAAGCTCTCAAGTAGGATTGAATAAGTTGGTTGGGTACCCTAGTAGTTGACTCCCACTAGCAATTTGTGGATGCGGACTCTCATACCTATAAACCAATCCTCATTTTCCGAATAGTAGTTGCCCTTCTAATGACTATCGTATATAATCATTTTGAATGTCTTCAAATCCAAAGTACCCAGAAACCAATGAGCATGCGGTATATTGATTAGGATGTAAAGCTTCAAAAAAGGTTATAAATAATTAATTAGTATATAAATACTCAGGTAATGTAATCCAAAGAAAATTATATTGTATCACACTCTACCCAAGCTAGGCAAACGACCGTCAACCATGTCACACCGGTCAAATGTCATCCGCTCTACAAACTAGCAGTAATGAGATCCACATCATGATGTGCTGCCATTTTTTGCAGTAAAGTATTGTTATTTGAAGCATAGTATGTAATGAAAAAATAATTATATTACTTACATCACATGACAAACATCCTTCATGACTATCCGCATATAATCGTGTCCAAAACTCAAGCGTAGCAAAACCGATCAAATAATTGTTACCAAACAATAGCGAGCCATCTTGTTCTTTATATACACTGTGTAACATCCTGTTTTGAGAAGTTTCTTTTTTCGGTATTGTGGACAATAAATTGATTAAGTAAAGGTCTTAGGCTTTAAAGGAATGGGGTTTAAACCTTATTGGATGATGACACCGTTAGATAAGTGATTAAAGCCTTGGTTTGTGTCTTGGAGTCAAAGGGTAAAATGAAAAAAGTGATGTTTTAGACTTCTTTCATGAATTATGGTTTTTAGTTCGACATGTGTTAAGCCAAAATTAGCTAGATAAAAGTATGGGGTTTGTCAATACGTTTCCGTGGATATAAAGATCGTCAAAAACGAAGTTGAAACAAAGAAGTTATGATTGTTTGAAGTTAGAGTGAAATTAGGTGAAAACACGTTCGCACTAGGTGAGAGGTAATTCTCACGACGTGAGAGTGCTCACAATGTGAGAATCTATTCTCACGACATGAGAATTATGCAGTCCAAAGCTCACGAAATTTTTAGGGCTTGCAAGGTATTTAAAGGTAAGGATTCAAGTTTTAGGGTATTTTCTTAGCCTCGATCATATCTAGAACCTCTTGAGAAATACCCTAGCCTTTATTTTCAAGATTTGAGCCTCCCATCTCTTCTCTCATCCATTTTTTTGAGGTTTTGGTGGTTTTGGAGCAATGTCTTCATGCAAGATTGATCCTTGAAGCTTGGCAATTAGAAATTTCAACTCTCATCTACCTTCTAAATCTTTATAAGTTATAAAGTTTCAAGCTTTATTGCATATTCATCTTGGATCTAAGTGTACTTGGTGTTTTGGTCCATTTTAATAATTTTTTAATGAGAGTTGGAAATAAAGTTTGCAATTTTATTACTCTCTAAGGTCCCAAGAGCATTGTATGTTTTAGATCTAAACTCCAACACTTTTTTGATCAGTTTAGAATGTTTTCTTAGACCACTTTGACGAAAAAAGTTTCGATCTTTTGTTATCTCTTTCAATCATGCAAGTTATCTTAGTCATTTAGGTTATTTTGGGGTAACAAAGTTTAGATCTTCAAAGCTTGAGACATTATTATAAATAAAGTTAAAACATTTATCCATCTATACATCATGTTGATTCAAATCTAAACATTAGAAACTTTGACTTAATGGATTAAGTTGAAAAATATGCATTTTAAGGTCCTTCGAGACTTGAAATCCAGATCTTGGTTGTTTAAATTTGAATATGTAAACAAGGTATTAACAAATACTCCCTTCAGGTTTTGCTATTATTTTAACATGATCTAAGCAATTATTTAATCTGCATTTTTTGTCCTCCAACTTGTAATTTTCTTACAAACCTTTCCTAGAGGAACAATAAGTTCACAAGTTTTTCATTGGATAAAAGCCTGAATTGATTTGCTTCCTTTGAAGTATCCCCCCAACCATCAGAACAATCCAAATCAACACAGCTTGAAACTCGATACAACTACACAAACTTTCTTGTGTTATCCTTCTATTGGATAAGGATATTCACGTCTTTTATGCTCTTTTACACATACAAGAAATCAAGAACGAGTCCATATCCCAAAAAATTGCAATTATACCATGTTAACAAAACTCTCGTTCTCAATCCAGTGCACGTGAGATGTAATTCAACATATGTTTTGCCATGCCCTATTTGAGCATCCCATAAGTCTTGATACATCTCTCAAGGGAATAAATACATCAAACAATACAAACCAAACAAACAACTTATTAATCTTTTAAATCATGCTTGCTCACTTGTATATAAGAGCATCACGTCCGGGCCCCACACCAATGTAATGAATAGGCACACCAACCAGCTCTTCTATTCTTTCTACATACTGACGTGCAGTCTTTGGCAAATCAGAGTAGTTTCTTATAGATGAAATATCAGTCTGCCACCCTGGCATCGTTTCATATTCCACCTAAACACACACACACACACAAAATCAGTTATAATAACTTATAATTAATTCCACAGCACGTGTAAAGAAAATTAAAAGAATCAAAACTTGCCTTTGACTGTTCGAGGACGTATAAGTCAGCAGGGAATGAATTGATGGGGGTATTATCAGGATTTTTGTAAGAAACACCCAATTGGATTTCGGGAAGATCGGATAAAACATCAAGTTTTGTGAGATTTAAAGAAGAAAATCCATTTATTTGACAAACATATTTAAGAGCAACAATATCAAGCCAACCACATCTACGTGGACGACCCGTGGTTGTGCCAAATTCCTGCCCGGAAAACCGGAGAAGGTCGCCCGCTTTGTCTAATAATTCGGTTGGAAACGGACCGGACCCCACCCTAGTTGTGTATGCCTTTACCTGTATCAAAAAAAAAATCAATAATTTGGTAGATTTTTCAAAGTACAATGCAGAAGTAAAATGAAAAGAGGTAAATTTACCACTCCAATGATATCCCCAAGGGCTCTAGGAGCAATCCCTAAGCCAGTGCATATTCCACCAGCTGAAGGGCTAGAAGAGGTTACAAAAGGGTATGTCCCAAAATCAATATCCAACATGGTAGCTTGACCACCTTCCACCAAGATCTTCTTCTTCTGTGATATAGATTCATTCATGAAATGGACTGTATCACAGATGAATGGTTCCAATCTCTCAGCAAACTTTTTGTACCTTTCAACTTCTTCCCGAAGCATATCAGGGGTGTACTTAAAATCCTTGAATCTTGAAGCTGCATCTGATAACAAAAGATCGAGCTTTTGAGGGAAAGTATCCATACGTCTTAGGTCGCTTACTCTTATACCATTTCGAATGACTTTGCTTGAGTAGCAAGGTCCGATTCCTCTTTTGGTAGTGCCAATAAAGGACTTGGCTAATTCAGCTTCTCTAAGCCCATCTACCTCTTGATGGAAATCAAATAGCAAGTGAGCACGATCAGATACCAGAATCCTTCCTTTGCAGGAGATCCCATTGGATTCAAGGCCATCAATTTCTTTGAAGAATCCAGGAAGATGGACTACAACTCCATTTCCAACAACACACATGGTTTCTTCATTGAGAATCCCTGAGGGAACAAGATGAAGTGCAAACTTCTTGCCTTCAGAATTGTAGATAGTGTGCCCAGCATTTGCTCCGCCCTGGAGTTAAAATAGAAATCTTATTTCGGAACTCGTGGGATTAATGTGAAGATGTTATCAGTTATGTACACTTGAAACAAGGAAACTAGGTTTAAAATGAAATCAAGCAATAATCGTGTAAAGATCATGTAATGGCATCCGTAAATTTCATTGTTAAAACTGATAGACATTGAAAAAAACCTAAATGTAGCACTGAGAGTAATAGGAAGGACTAACCTGACACCGAGCGACAACGTCGAAATGCTTCGCTAAGATGTCGACTAGTTTTCCCTTGCCTTCATCGCCCCACTGACAACCCAACACTCCGGATACCTGACTCAGAGCTTCGATTCGACTCGGAGTGTTACTAGTTTGTTCTTCCACGGCGACTGGCGGAGATGCGGAACACGAAATTGGACCGGTTTTCCTCCACTGATGGTGGTTGAGAATAGCAATGCGTCGGGGTAGTGTGTTGAGACAGCTTCCACAAGCGCCATTGAAGGCCCTCCGCGGAGCAGTGATAGGGTTTGTGTCTAGCCGAAGAGAGGTGATGTTCATGACTATGAGAGAGCGACAGCAAGGGTTTCCACTTTCCACAGAAAAGAACGCGCAAGTCAGAAGAGATGTTAAAAAAAGGTTAATTACATTAAAAGCCCTCTAAGTATATTAATGTTTTCAAAAATATCCCTCCTTTGGCAATGAGGATTGTTCCGGTTAAAATAAAAGTAAATTACATCAATCGTCCATCGTGCATATATCAGAAAGCGTGTTTAGTTTTTATTTTTAAAAATTAACTTAGATAGTCCCTCGTTTCCTTAAAATTTACATGTTTCATCCCTCAAAGGTGATTTTATTGCGAACTTAGTCCGTTCCAGATTTGAAATGATGATAATGCCCTTTAATTTAATGTTTTTACCCTTATTATTATTATTATTAATAAAGCCCTTCACCTTCCCCACACTTTTAATCGGAAATAAACACAGACTCGATGAGAGGGAAAGTAGAGACCAAAATCGTCGGCCACCACCATCGTCTCCACCTCCGACAAACCTTTCTCCGTATGGACCAAGACTCTCGGCAGTCCCCTCTCCGACTGCATCGCATATGTCACCTTTCTTTGAATCCAAACCATTGATGGAGATGTCGAAAACAAAAAGAAGAGTAAACTCCATATCAATGGCATCGTAGAGGGGGAGAGGTGGTTTACAACGGATTCTACAAAGAGATGGAGACGTTGTCACCGCCTAAGGTTTCGAAACACCACCAAGGTTTTCTGATCGAGCTCCATCGCCTGTTTGGGGATCAGTAACACAATAAATAAAGTGTGCAATATGAAGGGGTGATTGTCGGAGGTCTGATTCTCCGCGTTTGTTGGTGATCAGCATCATCGATCTGAGGTTCTTCGATGGCAATGGGATTTGGGGTGACCACCAATGCATTTGATTTTGAATCCTCTTTCTTATACTACAACTTGTGGGTTTCTATTTACAAGTTTATAGTTTGATTTTCAGGTTTAGGGTCTAGTTAGATTTGAGTTCAGCTTCTTGTTTCTTAAATTTAGGGGGCTGCTGGATTTTTAGGAAGGAAAAATGTGAGATGTGTTCAATGGTGATTGGACATAAGGCATATCTTCCAAAATAGGTGATGGGAGAGAAATAGGAGTGAAAAGTGGTAGTTTCTAGTGGTGCTAGGTGGTGGTAGTTAAAGTTGAGAAAGAATTGGGAAGACAATTGAAATTTAATCAATAGTGGCGATGGTGTTTATATTTAATTAAACATTTTTTAATAGATTAATAATTAATAATTAATAATTAATAAACATATCAAAAAAGAAATAAATAAGAGCAAAATAGTCTTTTTATGTCCTGGGGGACGAAACGTGCAAGTTTTAAGTAAACGAATGACTGTCCGAGTTAATTTTTGAAAATATGGACTAAACACGCTTTCTGAGATATGCACAATATACCCTACAGTTTAACCCAAAGATTCAATGTGTATTTTTTTAAATAATGCATACATTCATACACAAATACACATATACAAAATATTGAACGAATATAATTTCTCAACAATACATACATCAATACAAATCCATTGAATCAAATATGCAACTCAATACACAAAATACACATATAACACATAGAAAATTCATCATTTACAAATTTCACACAAAATACACATATCATAAATAAATAAAACAACTTTCAAATCTTGCACATCTAAACCATACACTTAGACTTATACAGTTTTACACACAAAAAATAAACATATTTTTATACACAAAGAAGTTTATACACAAAGGAAATAAAATTTATTTTAAATCCATCCAAACAAAACGTGAGCAGTCATATGAAAACCAGATCGCACCTTCACTCTGCTTCTTTCTTGTTTCCTGCACATCGAATTGTTCATGAAGAGGTTACATGCATTCTTAGAGAGTGTTTTTGATTGCTTTAAAAGCAGTTTTTGGACTTTTCACTTTTCGGACAAATTCAAAAAAATGCAAAAAAATGTTTGTCTAAGCTAAAAAGTTCTTTTTTAAACAACTTTCAGAGGAAAAAAAAAAAAAAAAAAAGCTATTTTAAAAGTTACAATAATATGATTTTTGGGTAACTTTTCTTAAAAGCAATTTTTATCTTTTTACCATGTAAAAATATTTTAAAACATAATTTTTGAAAAAAAAAACCTTTTATAAAAAGGACTTTGTAGGTAAAAAAAAATTTATCCCAAACACCCCCTAATTAAACCTTTAGAACATTCAATCAAAAACCAACACAAAAGATATGCACAATACATTATACTCAATTCCACACAATCAAAGCACTTCTGTGTTTCTTCTTCTTCCTTTCTAGGAAGACCAGGGCAGTTTCTCATTCGTGTTCTTCTCCCATTCATGTGAAAACAACAAAACCAATCATTTCTACAAACACCCATCGAATTTCTGTCAAACATTTAAACCCAAGCACCCATATAAACCTGTTGATTCAACTTCACAGTCAAAATAAGAAGAACAAGAAAACCCTTTTATAAATTAGACCAACGAGCCTCGCATCTCATTGCAGCAGATCGACGGACCAACCCTCATTTTCTTTTTTCTTCCTTCAGTCCAGCCAAACCTCGGAGGTCCTTTCCCCCTTCGCACATCACCAACGGAGCAAGAAGAGGGCTTCCCACCTTCACTGTTTCTGCCTCGTCGATTCGGGAGACGGCCTTCTCGCGAAACGATCGACCAAATGCGACCCTTCGCACCCCTTATTCCGCCTCCTCCACCGCCTCTGCCTCGCCCTTGATCTTGTTGTTCACCATCGGACCTCATCCTTCCTCGCACCTGGCAACCGGACGGGAAAGAAAGAGGGTATCACTGCTTTCGTCTCCCCCTTAGTTCCCTTTCGACCTCGTCAAACACCGGAGAGGACAGCTCCTTCGCGAACGATCGATCAAGCAAACAAACCCGGATTGAGCAGCTTGCGAGCCTCCCTCTCTCGTTTTTATTCACTACTATGATTCCCGTCGATTCGTATCCCCTTTCCCTTCATTCGTGTTTTTCATCTGGCCTCATTCGATCATACTGACTTCTTCTATTATCCCGATTAAACAAAAGAAATGGGATGTGATTAAAAAGCCCTAAATTAATTTAGGTTTGGGTCATTAATCAAAAATGGTCCCTCCATGAGATTTTATTATACGCAAAGCCCTAATTCACTTTCAACTTTAATGCATTGACAAAATAACCCCCTACTGCCATACTCATTTTAGAAATCAATCCCAATCCTCAAATATTAGACCCATTTGTTCAAACCAGTCCCTATAGTTTGTTCAAGTTACAAAATCAGTTGCTCCTTGAATTATTTTATGCAAAACAGTCCTATGTTGGTAAAATTAAATTACCCAACAACCCCTAATAGATTAAATTTGTTACGAAATGGTCTCGAAAGTATTTCAAAGTTGGGTAAATTACACCAATCGTCCCTCGTTCATATGTCAGAAAGCGTGTTTAGTCCCCATTAATTTAAATTTTATATTATGTTTAAATATTTATAGAATGATAGGAAAGTTCATTGAAATAAATTATAGAATTTAAAAAGATTAAGTGTAATAGAGCGTGAAATGGTGAACTGTCTATCAAACTCAATGGATGGATGCCCTTAATTCAAGTAACTAACAAGTAACATGTAAATAAATAAATAAAATCATGCATCCACCACCAATGTTTTATTTCCTTCTTTTATAAATTAAGTCAAACTTTCCTTTGTCTATAAGAATTCAGGTTCTTCTATACATCAACACAAAGTAAACACAAGGTGAGCAAAACTGGGCACAAATTTTCCCCTCAAAATTCAAATATACTACCAAAACAACGCAAATTAGCTTCCGCATGTACCCAAAATCAGGTTCAATAAATATAATTATATAAAACACTAAACGATCTTTATACCACTGTTTAAACGCCTCCACCTATAACATATGTTCTTCACTATACTTTGAGTAAGCATTCTTTAGGTATGCCAGTCTCATTTTTCATATTTGTTTGTTGCCTTCTCCAAGGGTCGTTATATAATTTGTAATGCAATACCTAGCAAAAAAATATATTCATTTCATCAAGTCTTATTTCGTAGGACATAACAAGACATGACATGATATGATATGACAGAACATGTTGTATTGTATTTGACACACATATAACAAAAATTACAATTTTTGTCCAACCTAAAAAGTTGAAACAAGGTGGGACACATGCAAAAGATATGAATGTCCTTCTAATCCTTATCATTTGAAATAGTCATAAAAAACTTAAAATGATATGTATGAACGTTTATATACCTGTATGAATGTTGTAAAAACATCATCATCATCACTTAGCTCAGACAACTTTTCGGCCCAATCATTAATATGCCCAAAAGCAGATTTTTGTCTTTCAGCCTCCAGCAAAATTGAACCACGATACAAGTATCTTTGCCAGATTTTCTTCACATTCGCCAATCTGAATTCTATTTCTGTTTCACCGAACCCCTACATGAACAACCATCATACCAAATTCAGCGAAATTCAAATCATACTTGTAAACATAATCACATATTTATCAAGTGTTACAAAAATGATTAAAAGTACAAACATTCAAGTGCTAGAAAAATCATGAAATCTGAATTACCCGGAGGATATTTACGAGGTTAGGTATTTCATCTTCACCTAATCGAACGGCAAAACTCTCGTAGTTGAGCACGTTCTCCCATGGCAAAAAGATCCCATCCTGAACATGAAAACTTGTTTAGAAAGACTTAATCCGGACATAATGACTTAATGGGTTAAGCCAAAAAGGTTAGACTTTAGAGACCTGAATAACCACGGGAATGCAACCTTGCAAAATACTATCTTCCATTCTACCACTCCACCCATCACCCGGCATAACTCCACAAAAAACCGAACTCGCCAAATCCTCATGATAACTTTCGGAAGGATGCGCGATCACAATCACATCTTCCGCGTGTTGCTTCCCGAGCTGCCCGTTTTTATTTGGGGCAGACCCAAATTCTTCGGCTAGTTTTTGCCTTATACCCATACTATACCTACATCACAAAAATTTTAATTAGAATTAAAATTAGGGTAGTTTATGAACCTAAACGACCATTTTTTTTTTTTTTTGTATTGAATATATGTACACTTACGTGGCTTCAGGCCTTCCACGTTCATAAGCTGGCCCCAAATTTCCGTTGAAGTAAAACAATGTTTTTCGCTCCTCACGAGGCCTAAGCACATGAAATTACAAATAAGTTTTAGAGATAGAAATAGTAACGTTTTTTTTTTTTTTTTTTTTTTTTGTGATGTTTGACTTTTAGACCTATCCCAAAGCTTTAAGGTCAAAGAGGTGACATCTGGACGCTTCCATGCTGGAATTACTAAATCTTTTTCTGGATCAAAACAAGAATGATTGCCCCTTTTATCTGAAGGGACCTGATCCCAATTATCAGCCCAATAGGCTGTGGTTGAATGGTTGTGCTTTGAATTTGTGTTGCCCCAATGAACCAACATCATGCTGTTCCATATCTCCTTTGGTGCATAACAAGCACCTTCATCCCATGAAAAAGACTGCAAAGAAAATAAATCAAAATTATAACCAAATTTCTTTTATCTATCTTATCATCAAGTGGACGACCATATATCGAATCATACCCAAATGTGATCTTTTCCAGATGAGCGATTCCAGTATGGGTATTGTTCAACAATATGATCATGTGCTTTCTTGTAAAAATCGAGAGTGAAAGAGCTTCTCAAACCCCTATGTTCCTGAAAACACGAACAAATCAAACATAAATATCAGTAAAAAAAAAAAAATCAAAAATCAAGTATTTATGTCGCTGTACCTCCATGCTCAAATGGGGTGCATCATCAGCACGAGTTATAATGCAAGAATCAAGAACAGGAACAAAATAATAATCCGCTTCTTCACCATTTAATGTTCGATGTGGACTAGCTAACATGCTTTCGTACATTGCTATCTGCAAATAAACATTCGTAAAATTGCTTAATTTCAAATTCAATCTTCAATTTTCCACATAACAAAAGTAATTTAGAAAGATGATTATCTATAATACCTGAGAACCATATAGCTGCTCCGTCCATATAGTAGCATTATCCTGATCATAGATCCTATTTACACACTCCAGCTTAAAATGACGACCCTGTAATTCAAAGATTTACAAATTGAGAATCAATAAAAAAGAAGAAAGACATCGTTTACAATTAGGGTTTTGCATTCTAACCTCGAGTAGGATACTGTTAAAATCGGGAGGCAAATCATATACATAAATCAGCGGCCTTTTCTTTTCCACCACCGCTTTTAAACCGATGATACTTTCTGTCACTTGTTCGTTGTCAGGAACAGTAACCTGAGAGGGTCGAAGCCACTTTGGCCAATCTTGAATAGAAGAATGAACAGATGGAATGCTACAATCTACTCCATACCACCCATTCTCACACTGCATATAACCAAAAAGGACATTCTAGTTTTAAAAAACTCTAAACCCAATTATAGCATTCTAATTTCGAAGTGTAATGTTATAATGTAATAAGAAGAAATAGAAATATGTTGTTATTTATTGCTATACCTGACAGAATCCACCCCGACAATGGCCTTGACCTGAGCATTGGTTAATACAAGTAGATAACACAGGTGTCTCACAAAAACGCCCAAAAAGACCATCATATTTACAATCACATTCTTCTTTAAATTTCACCTTCAAATCATAAGCTTCAACAGGATCCACATTACACCATCCGGGCAAGCTCCCGTTTGTTGTGAAAATATTTTCATGGTCTGATTTTGACCAGTCAACATCTTTCGGGCCACCGGGTTCAGAAGGTAAACTGTGTACATTGAATTGTAAATAAGAAAATTATATATAAATTTGGTGGAAATAAAGATATTTAATTATTTATAGTTTGTGGGCTTACATCATTTGAAACCCACATGACTCTGCAACAGGCCGATTTGGGTATTTTGTTCCTTCCCCACAGAAGCACATTGCTCGTGTTGTGTCGCAATGTGTAGAGCAAATTGAAACAACCCATCGGCCGTAAGGTAGCTCTTCAGTTGCCGGATAATTACAACTTAATTCTAGTCTTTCAGAACATTTCTCTCCTGTTTCACCAAAAAAAAAATCAAAATTGCTTGTTGTACGATGATAATTAAATTTATTTAATGGAAATCTAAGAAAAAAAAAGATTGCTTAATTCTGAAAAAGGGTTATTCTTCTGGCAACTCTTAAGCTGACCCACACTGGCAGTCATGTGAGATGTAAATCAGGTACACACTGGTCTGCTAGGTGGCTGACATAAGAGACCAGTGCCCATAAGAAGCCTAATCCACATTGGAACTGAAACTCTCACACAGCAGATGATGAAACTTAAACCCTAGAGTTTATCTACACATTGAGGAAGTACTAACCACTAAATCCATGAAAGCATCGGCATTGACCAAGTTCATGATTACAAATGCCTTGACCACTACACCCATCTTCACATTTCTTCCCACTGATTGGCTATCAACAAAACCGCAAACTATAAGCCATGATTAAAAAAAATTGAAAATGAAATTTTAAAAAATCACAAACTTGTAGTACCTCAAGAACTTTTATGGTAGTGGCAACTGAACTACAAGCGGATAACCATTGACCAATCTCAGCCTTCCATGGTGCACCACGATATACAACTGCCTTATGTAAGTCAGCTGGAAAGGTTGCATTTAAAGGCAAAATGTGCTTCTTTTCCACATTGATTGTTTCATTAATTGGGATACAAGAGTCTTTTACTTGCTTATATCCAAAGTAATCAAAAGAAGGCACAGAAGGAAACAAGAACATATGAACTATTGAAACCAATGTGACAAGTGAAGCAACGGTTGCTATCAGTGACCATGAGCAAGTCAACTTCTGTAACGAGATCATGGTCAACCCCAGAAACTAGTTCCTCAATTTGCATGAACTAGTTTATTTAGTTGACTTTTTGGAACAATATTTTCACCTCTCGAAAGGCCAATAACCTAAAAATCAAGAATGTTAAACAGATCAAACATAAAGATATGAAAACCTTAACTAGATGCGTATAGTTTTCATGGTTTTGATGGGGTTGAAAGGTATATAATATAGAGAACTGAAAAAGTCAACTCCATGAATTTCCCCCAAAAGATTTTCCTTCAATTCTCTACAGTGATCCTTTAAGCTCACAATTTGTCCTCAAAATGCAAACACGAGTTGATTTCATTCAACAGATCAACCCCACATTTAAACATTCTAAACCCGTTTGAATAAAATGAATTCGATTCAGTTCATACGTTTGAAACAAGAGTTCAAAATTACAAATTGACACTGGTCAATGGGGAATTAAACAGTAAGCCTAAATGATTACTTCATGAACACGATTCAAATGACCTTTACTTTTTAACCTCCACAATTAAATAATTTGGAAAGCGAACTTTAGAACATACTAAATGAATCCAAGCACAATCCTAAATTCTTAATTAACATGTTAAGAACTTCAAAAAACGCTACAGATGTTCAGCGAATACAATCCAAATGTTTTCAATTTCTTCCAAACCCATACAAAAAGCTCAATTTATACAAAATTGTTCAATCGCATAGTACAATATGTTCGTCGCCGAAATGGGTCATGCTTACTTCACCAGATCTCATTAGAATTGAGGCAAACTCAATTTACTTCTCAAAATAAAAAAGCTTTCGGAATTGGAAGTTGGTATAATCAGATTTGATGCCAACTCACAAACATAATAAACGAAACAAATAGATGAATGAAACAACTTACCAATTGAATGAAAAGGTTTCCTCAGAAATTACATACAGAGAGAAACGACAAGAGGAAAGAGGTGGAAGTCGCCACGTCTGGGTGACGGAGAAGAGCTCCAGAAAAGTAAATAATGGTGACGGCCGAACAAAATTCTCGAAAGTACCCCCGGCAATGATGGGTAATGTGCAACTGCAGATTTCCGTGTTTGGGGGTATGTCTGTCAAATGACACGCCACTTATATGCATGAAGTCACGAACTCAAGATTCCGATTTGAATCCGAGAAGTTGACTCAATTTATTCGCGAAATAAATGTATATATTTACTAATGAAAAGTAGTTTATTGTTTATTTTTTATAATAATATATTTACTAATGAAAAGTAGTTTATTAAGATCATATGAAAATTATGACTTCAAATTATTTGTCATTTTATTATTTTATTAATTTCGATTTCTAACTAAACATAGTTTCAAACAAATTTCAATAGTTTTCTAATAAGTTGAACATATTGATATTCATCTATTTAAAATGTTTAATAAAATCTTCTTCTATTTTATTTAGTGATTTTTAAATATATCATATTTTAATATAAAATGTTTTAAACAAATATTATCAATAGATATTAAAATATATAAATGTTTCAAAAAGGAAACACTATTATTGGAAACAATTAATTAGTTAAAGAAATAAAAAAAAATCTAAGTAGAATAAAATCCGACATACAAAATTAAAATATAATTAAAAAAATGAGTTATATTTACAAAAATATTGTAATACACTATACTACCACTTAATATATATTAATTGGTCAATAAAAAATAAACAAAATAGTTATATCTTCCAACCATATTAAATTATGATAATATATATTAAGTGGTACATAAAATATATATATATATATATATATATATATATATATATATATATATATATATATATATATATATATATATATATATATATATATATATATATATATATATATATATATATATATACAAAGTGATTATAAGTCCTAAGTTGAATAGTAAAAAGGTTTATTAAAAAAGCCAAATTTCTTAATAAACCACTATAATCAAATCATTCACGTCGTATCTATAATTATTTTTTAATATTATATTTCTTTTCTGTTTTTAGTCTCTTTTATTAACTTGTTTATAATTATTATATTACTTTTAATTTTATTTAATTAATTAATTAGGTATTTTTATTTTAATATAATTTATTATTAATTTTTTATTTAGATTATTTTTCTAATTAAATTATTCATTTTTATTATTTTCTCTTTCTTTTTAATTTTTTTTTAAATTACAATTAGATTATGTTTGGATTGTTTGTTATTTTTATTTTCTATATTATGTTTTAGATTTTATATACACTAATTTGAAAATAATTTTAAATAACCCAGATTACCAGAAATTGTACATGGTTATACTGTAAATTCATATCTAATGTAAAAATCCAATGAAAACCGGTTCTGATTTAACCAAAATCCAATAGCCTACCAACCGTAGTGAATATTTTTTACAAAAAAACGGATCATCCGAATACATAACTATTTTTTATAATGTTTATTTTTTGTAAATTTTTACGACCTGGGAGTATTTTTAACTTTTTAACGATTTGTTAATATCCTAAAAAAATTATGGAAAAAAATATATGTTTTGTTGACGTTATGTTTTAGTGCCTTTGGAATATTTTAACTTTTTGACGTTTGGTTCGTTTAGTAAAAAAATAGTTCAAAAAATTTGACTTGTTCGCTTTACTTTTTACCCCGTAAGAGTAATTTTCATTTTTTGACATTTTATTCGTTTCAAAAAAACTAAATAAGAAGGCAAAAGTCACTTTTCACTTTTGATGTTCACTAACTCTAGGAAAATTATATATATATATATATATATATATATATATATATATATATATATATATATATATATATATATATATATATATATATTCTTGTGTTCCCATAGTGTGTTAGAATGGATCAATAAAAATTTAATAAAATTCAAATTACTATTTAATTAAATAATGATAAATAGTAAATAATGTCCATAATTGTATGTATACTAAATGATATTTATAATTATAATTAATTTTTTATGGAAACTAATTAAATTCATCATTAATGTCAGCAATAATATTTTTTTAGAATTAATTGTCAAACAAAAGTGCAAAATTAGTCCCTGTGGTTTTCGAAAAATTGTGGATAGAATTCAAAAAGTTTTCAACTTGCATTAAAGGTCCAAAATCAAGTTTTATTCGTGATTTTGATCTCAAATTTAAGAAATTTTCATGGTTTTGGTTCAAAGAGAACTTAAAATGATAGTTTTACCCTTATTATTTATTTTTTATATTTTTTGATTTATTTTACTATTCATTAATTATAAAAAAAATAAAAATAAAAATCCCACCACCCCACCCCAAAAGGATAGAGTGTTAGAGTCATTCGATCTTAGGGACGATGATGTGTGCGAGTCTTGTTTACATGGAAAGATGACTAAGTCACCCTTCACTGGCACTTATGAAAGGGGTGGGGGTCTATTGGATCTCATACACACCGATTGGTTTTGCATTGATAATGCGAAAACGCATTAGTAACTTGATGTTATAAAACACATTGTTGTGTATGATTTAATTAGTGAATATTAAATGCATATAAGTCGAAGTTTATCTGTTCCTTTTATCCTAAGAGGGTAAAAGTGATATCAGGGCCCATCGATGATTTGGTTTGACTTATGTGTCGAGCCCGGTCAGGACTGAATTGATGTGTTCAATTAAGTTCTATGTCAAATGAATCTGAGATCGAGAAACAAACTCTTGGACAATAAGTATGACTATGTTCCATGTGATTGTCCGCACGATATCTAGAACAGAGGATCATACAATCCCTTATCTAAAGGACAGGTTGTTGATAAGATCAGAGTTCGACAACGTATTTGAGAGCTATGATTGCTAATCGGATTGTACTTGTATTTATAGTTACTAGACTTATCCAAGTTAGAGACTGTTGGATTAGTGTCTAAGCCTGTAACCATATTTGGTAAGTACTTAACCCGGTTGTGCATGGTCCTTTTGGGTTGCCTTCACTAAAGCAACTTGACTGGAGAAATGATAGAGAAATAGGCTATTATAGTTTATTAATATATTATAAGAATAATATATTAAAAGAGAAATCATATTTATTTAGTTAACATTCGTCAATAATTAATTAAGAATTAATTTTATGAATAAAAGAAGTTAACTAAACTAGGGGCTGAACTGTAATTATGTGATAGTTGCAAAGTATGGCAAAGGATGACCTATGAGATAGGGTGGACAAATTCAAGGGGATAAGGCCTTAGAATTCGTCCATGATAAGGCTTATGGACTTATCTTATGGGTTGCTTAGTGGGCAAGCAACCAAATAAGGATAAGGACTGAAACCCTAATCCCTATACCTATATAAGGACCCATTGGCTTAGGAAAATTGGTCACTTGATCCTAGAAGTTCCTAGAGCTAATTTTCTGCCTCTCCCCCTCCTTCTCTCTCTCTCTCTCTCTTGCCTCTCCATTTGCTCTTGGTGTTTGTGAGCCATTAGAGGTACTACACTTGTGGTACTTGCTTTCAAAGACAAGAAGATTCAAGATTTAAGTTGTTATCACAACATAACAACAAGAGGTATGGAATCTTTTTCTCCTTCATGAATTTCGAAATTACTAGGAGAATGCTAGGGTTCTTCATGTGTTCATAATGATGTGTATCTAATAGTGAAAACATAGATCCGAATCTAGGGTTGCATGCACACATAGGATTGATTGTATAAAACCCATCAGCTAGTGGGGCAAGTATTGAACATCCGGTAACCTTGATCTAGGATATTTGCTTTTGTTTGAATTATGCCAAAAACTATAAAATGACACATCCTTTGGTGCTTAGTGCAGACGTAAAATAATTGTGTATTGTAAAGGCTCCTATTTTGGTGTTATGTGCACATTTACCAACATTTAGTGCCTTGTGAACATGTTTTGAATGAATATCATTTACTGTTTATGTCATTTAAACTGTTTGTACATCTAATATTTATATTATGTTTTATGGTTAAAAAATAGTGATTTTAATAGTTTTTTTAACCAAACTGCCTCTATATACCATTTTGTTGGAAAAAAGGTAGTGAGTTTAAGAGTTTGGAGCAAACTGGCCTTATTCGTTTGTTACTCTGATATGATACAATCCCTTGTTGATGGAAGCTTCATTATGATTGTGTATTGTGAAGTTACAAAAATAGTTGCTATTTTCATACAACATTGCAAATAACTGTGATCAAACTAAAGGACCACAAACTAACCCTACTACACATGTTTCGAAATTGCACCTGTTTCAAACTTCTACTCTAACTTTGTTTCTCCTGAAGTGAAACAATTATTGCATTTGAGTGCTAAGACTTCACTTAATATATATATATATATATATATATATATATATATATATATATATATATATATATATATATGTGTGTGTGGAGAAGGGCAAATCATAAAAAAAAGGCAAAAAATGGTTAAGAATGTATGTTGAATATACCATTTATACGTTTATGAAATAGCAACATACTTTCAATTTGTTGTTTTCTTTTAAATAAGAAAATATGTTACTATTTATTGATAACATAAGTTATAGCAACCATCTATAAGGGGTTGCATAGGGTTCTGTATCATTCAATAAAAGTATATTGTTATTTCATTGCATGCCCCTCCATTATAATGGTTTGATGATAGTTATACCCTCTATACAAACAAGTATATACTAAAAGTACATTGATACTTCTTCTAAACATTGTTAAAATCAAAGTCAAACTACAACTTACCATACATACTAAAGGAAGTACATTGCAAAGACTTAAACATATAAACTACATCATTAATTTCACTAAAAACACAACAAAATTTCCTACTCATTTGTGCCAATTCCTTACTTAAACTAATATATTCCTTATTTGTCATCCCTTTGTGCACATTGAAATCTTTTTTCCAAAATTGATATCATCACTTCAATGGAATCTACTTTTATTTCTGTTTCATCTCTTTTATTTGTGTTTCTTTGTCCTTCGTCGTCATCAATCCATTTCCAAAGAGAACAATTTGGTGTGTTTGGATCCTTCATATACAGAAAAAATAAATCAATTAATTAACCAACCAAATAGTGAAACGACATTAACTAAGGGAGTATGTATACAAAAGGTATTATAACTCACTAGTTGGTTGGGACAAAACCTAAAAAAATTTCCAGGATTCCTCTTAGTGATTGAAGTCCAAATTTGCGACGGGAACCCACAACCACAAAGGTATGCATCATCAACTATCTTATTTGTCTTCGAAACGTTTGAGCTTGAGGATGAGATTATGGATTTGGTAGAATAAGATGAAGCCATCACAGATGCTAAAGAAGAAGACGATGCAGGAGAAGAAACCCAAGAGTGCTTGTCCCTTACTATGAGCAAAAGCCCTAATTCGATTTAAAGAAATTCACATAAATATCATGTCATTAATTTTAGGTCAACTCACCAATTTTTTTAATCTTACTCATCAAGTAACCCACAAGAACCGGTTACCATTAGGTGGGATGTGAACAAAATGTATACTTCATTTGTGTTTTATACAACACCCTTAGTTGGAGGGTATTTTTTGAACAATCAAAACTTCGATAGTCTTTTTTGAACATTTCTGAATAAAATGAAAGAGGGGCACAACCTGTAATTTTACCAAACCATAAAGAGAATTTATGTAACTTATTCGGTATACATATAAATGTATTTATTTTTGAGATAAAGAGTTTGAATTTCTTGGTGCACCGGATAAAAGCTTTTCATAGTGAACACCGCCCGCATTTATTTCCATTAAATTAGTATTTACTTGCTAAAAGCCGAACCGTATGTATTTTCAGTTGGCCCCCTTGCTTTAACATATTATAGCAGTTTATTCCTTTCCTTGTCGAGAACCTAAACATTAGAATAAGGGTAGTTTTTGTCATTTTGTGAGACTATTTTATACGTGAGTAATAATCAGTATGTCAAACTACCACATTCCGTATTTTAGTAAATAAAGTAAATTTGTGTTTGTAAATAATCTAAACTTCACAGCCCTAATGTTATAAACTAGCCTGATATAATTTTTTTTAACAATTTGAAACCAAAAGGTAATATTGCATTGTGTGACAAAACCTTAATGACATGTAATTTCATCTCGAATAAGTGTATTAAGTAAATTTATAAATTAAGTTGAGCTATATTTCGAATTTTAACAACTTCCGTGGTCATTCATTGTTTTAGACGCCATGTGTTACTTAACATTGGTCTTTATACGGGTGTCTTAGTATTTAAAAACCAATTTTACAAATTTATTATACATTTAAATTTGATAGATCCAAATGAATTCAATATAGAATATATGTTGTTAAGATAACACAAAAAATATTATCCAGATAGAAATGTTGGACCCCTTTATAGAATGAAATAAAGAAGTTCGGTAAAAGTGGTATGCCAACCTTCAACCTAACTCAATGGAATTGTTTTTTTTTTTTTTTTTTTTTTTTTTTTTTGTAAAAGGAAAGACATAAAAAAGGTTCATGGTAAACAAAAATTAGGATCTTAAGTAATATATATATATATATATATATATATATATATATATATATATATATATATATATATATATATATATATGTTATTTTGGGAACAAAAAGATATGTTAAAACTTCAAAAAAATCATTAGAAGTTTCACTTAAAACACCGCTACAATCGCATAGACATCTAGTATATGTTAGTTGTAGCTTGAAAAGTTTGAAAAAAACGAGAATGAAAACATACTGAAAAAATGAATGTGCACATGATTTGCATATATCTACATTTATTAAATAAACGAATTGAGTTTTTTTTACAACTTTTGAGTTGCCATTGGTCTAGACTAGACGTCTCAGTGCTTGTCCTGGTATTTTAAAATTTTGGGTGGATTTTTTGTTCAAGTTTTCACATAATTTTATAAATTTTAAACTCAAGAACGCAGATTATTTGTTCTAAAACATAAAAGTCATTATGATTTTACTTTTTAAGAACATTAACTCATGCACATCCATTATTATGATTTTTTAAATCTATCTCTTTCGTTTTAAACATGAGTTGAACATAAATATTTAGCTCAGATACACATTTGTTAACGCTTAATACTGTTGGATCAAATGTCCTTTGTTGTTATGATTTTATTGATCTCAATTGATAATGCACATTTCGAGAAAGAAAATGCAATATTAAAAATTACGTAATATTTTTACTTTTCGTTTGTGTATGTTTACAGTTTTTGGTAGATCAAGAATGCTACTTTAATTCATAAGTTTCTTTATCTATATTCATTTTGGTCAACAACTATAGAACTTTATTAAAGTTTATGCTATTAATTAAAACATTACGAAAAGAATATAAAAACAAAAGTCTTACTTATTATTATTTTTTTTTTACTTGAAGTTTTCATCCAAGTCTTGCAAAGAGAAAATAGTATTGCCAAATATAATTTAATTATAAATTTGTTGTTAAGTAAAATTCATTACTCCTATATTCATATACAACAAAAACAAAAACGTAAATATAGTATACTATTGTACAAACAAGAAAAATGAAGGACTAGATACGCAGTATATTTTAAACTTAAAGGGGCATTAATAGAAAATTGTACATTTCGACACCAGTAATCTTCTGCTTCTAAGAATTGCAGCTCTCTTTCTTCCATAATCCATATCCATCACTCTCTCCGTCCTCTTTAAATCATCCGAAACCTCTTTGCATCTCTCTCTATCGCATACACCCATCCACTCCTGCCAATCTACATAGATTCTGTTAACGGTGCTCTTCAGCAATGGCGGTGGCAGCAGCAGCTGTTATCGTCCCTCTCGGCGTCTTCTTCTTCGTCTCCGGCCTAATCGTCAATCTCATTCAGGTGCATCATTCGTTACTGATTTGTGTTTGTATGTGTGTATAATGTTTATGGATCATGTTTATCTAAATTCTTCTAGAGATGTGCTCAATTGTGTAATTCCTTTCGACTAGGATCGCGGCAATTATAATTAGGATTTTTTTATCATATCGATGTCATCACGAAGGTTCATTTATCTACCAATGTTGAATTTCACTGTGTTTTATTGTTATCGTGGGTTTTTAGGCGATACTTTTCGTGGTTGTTCGGCCGTTTTCGAAGAACACATACAGAAGGATTAACAGAATGGTGGCGGAGCTGTTGTGGCTTGAACTTGTGTGGATAGTTGATTGGTGGGCAGGAGTTAAGGTGATAATCTACTAACTTTCAGTGATTTTTGAACCATTTTATTAATATTTTTACAATCGTTTATTTCGCCGAGTTGATAAAAAAAAAATAGGGATACTTAGGGCTTCATGATATTTAGTTGTTTCTCCTTTTGAGTTTTCTCAAATCTGTCTTTCAGATTGTTTCTCTTCTATTGAAAACCCCATGCATTTTGATGTGTTTTAGTCTACTTTTCTAACACTGATTCCCACAGGTTCAATTGTACACAGATCCTGAGACATTAGAAATGATGGGTAAGAACATACCTAATTACATATACTTTCTCATGTGTTATATCTTATTTGGTCTGAATGAATAATATATTTCTTCTATATATACTAATTATATTTACAGGTAAGGAACATGCTCTTGTTATAGCTAATCACAAGAGTGATATTGATTGGCTTATCGGATGGGTGTTTGCACAGGTGATTCATTATTAAATATTCTCATTGCTTTTGTGTTCTCTACTTTCTTAGCTACTTTTAAAAAGCAACATGATAGGGCTAAAAGATTACTTTAAAAAAAAAAAAAAAAAAAAAAACTTAAGATTTTTGAAACATGACTTACTCATGTTCATTGGATTGTTCTGTGACAGCGATCAGGATGCCTTGGTAGCACATTAGCTGTCATGAAAAAGTCATCAAAATTCCTTCCTGTAAGTATTTAAAATTTACAATCTTACGAAACAAACATGTTAAGTTTTTAAATTAATGATAATGCTGTATACACACTTTTTTGTATTCTCATAAGTCATAATACTTCCTCAATTTCAATGCCCCCTTATGGATTTCATAAAACAAACTACTCTGAACTTTAACACTGATTTGAATATGTTTAGTTTGTATAAACACTCTAAACTGTGCAAAAATGTTGTAAACAGAGACTTCTTTGATGGCATTGTGACAAAAAAAATCTTGTTAAATTTGAAGTTATTAAGCATTAGGTTTGATATTCAAAAGGTAAAAAGGGTGTATTTGGAAGGCGGATAGTTATAACTTTATGGATTATAATCGCAAAATGTTACCAAATTTAGAAAGTTTGTGGTTTGTTTATATGCGTAAGTTTATTTACAATTACGCGGTTGAATATATATATCTGCAGGTGATAGGTTGGTCAATGTGGTTTTCAGAGTATCTTTTTCTTGAAAGAAGTTGGGCTAAGGATGAAAGTACCCTAAAGGTATACCCTAATACTAGTTCATTCATTGACTTTTTTTAGTCAAACCTAAAAATTTAACATGCTTTGACTTTGTGAATGTGTTTCAACAGTTTGGTCTTGAACGATTAAAAGACTACCCACTACCCTTTTGGTTGGCTCTTTTTGTGGAGGGAACAAGATTTACACAAGCAAAACTTTTAGCAGCTCAAGAATATGCATCTTCAAATGGCTTACCTGTTCCTAGAAATGTCCTCATTCCAAGAACAAAGGTAATGTAATAATGTGTCATCGTGTTCATGTCATCTTATTTATTAAGTCACTTTCCACTTTCAGTCATTCATTCATAATTTTTTATTTACTTTTAGGGTTTTGTAACATCTGTAAGTCACATGCGATCGTTTGTTCCAGCCATCTATGATATGACTGTTGCTATTCCAAAAACCTCAACTCCGCCAACAATGTTGAGGCTCTTTAAGGGCCAACCTTCTGTGGTACTATTTTTATTAATAAATTCTCAAATAAACTAAAAAATGTGAAATTTCCACGATGATAAAAGATATTTGGTGTGTATTTTTATTTTTTTGTTGTTGCAGGTTCATGTGAAAGTGAAGAGGTATTTGATGAAAGATTTGCCAGAAACAGATGAAGCTGTAGCTCAATGGTGTAAAAATTTATTTGTCGCAAAGGTGCAGACGTTATGAGTTTGTTTGTTAATTGTTATTATTAAATTTTTTTGGGTCAACACATTAAGTCATTATGTTTTTGCTTATTATGGTCAGGATGAATTATTAGACAAGCATAAATCAAGCGATTCCTTCCCTGATTCAGAACTCCATGACATCGGACGCCCTGTAAAGTCTCTTATGGTAAGAAAGAGAATAGAAATAAATAAATGAATAAGGTAAATCAGAAATGCTTATACGGGTTTTGTGTATACAGGTGGTTGTATGTTGGGCGTCATTGCTTGTTTTTGGGACATTGAAATTCTTGCAGTGGTCTAATCTTTTCTCTTCATGGAAGGGGTTTTTGGTGACAGGGGTTTGTTTGGGTGTCGTTACAGTCTTGATGCAGATCATGATTCAATTCTCTCAGGCAGAACGTTCCAACCCTTCGAAGGTGGCCCCATCAAGGACCAGCAATGGTGAACTTGATAAAAAGAAGTGACTAGTATAAAATATATATATATATATATATATATATATATATATATATATATACAGATATATTAATGGAACTTTTAAACTTATTAAACAGATTTATGTGGAAAAAAACTTTACTTTGGGTATTTGTTTTGTGCATGTCTAGTTTCTGTACTAAAGAAATAGAAGAGTTGAAAAAATTAGTTTGTGTTTTTAATATGTTTGTTATTTCATTACAGTTTGAATTTAGCAAACACTTGTATTAATAATATAATTTCAAACAATTACAACATTAAAGGTAATCCCAAAATCATGTGACAACAAATTTGAAAAACACAATGGGGACTAGTTCAAAATTGTTCTGGTATATGTGATGGGGGTAACTACCAAAAATACCCTTACGAAAACCAAATTTATATATCAAGTTTCTGCATCAACTCCATGGAGCCAGTACCAACTTTAACAGGCAAACCAAGACAAATCCTAGCGGTTGGTGTCTCCAAATTATCCATCATCCCATGAGAAGCCGCCTCAACAATAAACTTACTAGCAGTCTCAAAGGACATCTTCAAGAAGGGAGACACGGATTCCGATATGCTCCCGAATCTACTCATTGGGCGATAGCCTCCGGAATGAGTCATGTGATCAGCAATGAGACTTAAATGCCTGTAATCAATCTCCACACCATAACTCCCAAACACATTCTTCATCTCCAAAATAATCCCTGTTCTTGCAGCTTCAACTCCATAGGTGTTGAGCATGGTGTGTATGTTGTTGGAATAAACATGGTCCACATCAAGCTCATCTTCCATATCCCAAAACGCAGGAAGCTCAACTCCTGAAGCCTGCAATGCACACATTTTGTCTTTTGCTGTCTCCATGTTTTTCTGATTCCAACAGACTTGTTTCACGTTTACACTGTACTTGACAGGCTGGCACTGGTCCAGTTTTCCAGATCCTTTGATGTATACCTTTTTTGCAGCCTTCTGTGCAACCTACAATACAAAACAAACAAATTAGCTCAAAAAATAAATATGGATATTTTTGTGCAATTTAAGATTTTACCTCTGCAAGTAAAATCTCTGGTTCGTTTGTGAATCTAAAATGGACTTCAAGAGTCAAGTCTTTGACTTCAACGAATATTGACCTATCGAATTTTCTCTCCACAAATTCTTCACTGGATTTAGAGCTTGCTTTATCCGCATCACCTTCTTCTTGTTCTTGTCCTTGTTCTTCTGTTTCGTCGTCAGTTCCGGTTGCCATATCAGCATTCGCCACGTCAGCACCTCCATTTTCATCAAGATCCGAGGATGCTTCCTCTTCTTCATCTTCCTCTTCAGAACCATCTTCGTATTCAACCGAATCCGTATTTTGTCGTTTTCTTTTATTATACTCAGACCCAAGATCATCAGCTGTTTCATCTCTGTCATCATCATCGTCGTCATCATCCTCACCATCATCATGATCACCACCATCATCAACAGAAGCCTCATCATCTTCCCCTGAACGTTCCGTTTTTGAACTTCGAACACTTTTGATTCCATTAATTCTAGACAGCAAAACCACGTGTCTTTCAATGGCATCCTCCAATGCCCTTAGAAAAACATTCCTAAGTGTTTCCTGACAGTTATGTAGCGACACATGTCTCGGTTGTTTCAGCTTCACCATAAGCTTATAGATCCTACACGGACGATTATTATGAATCACAAGTGGTAACTTTGAAACTTGTACACTCTGCATAAGTTCTGCAACAGTAAGCTTCTTCACTTTCTCCACAAGTCTCTCCGCATCTTCCCTGTAAAAAAAAAACATAAGTACATTATTCTTATTATAGAAATATAAAAAAAAAAAATAAAAAGATAATAACTGACATTGATTTGTCTTGAAGCAATGGACATGTTATGATAGGAGTCTTGATGTTAGCAGCAGCTGTCATTAATATCTCCTGTAAACGTGGAATACCAAGTGTCACATTCATCTCACCACGTCCGGCAAGATGAAAAGTATTCAATCTGCATAATAAATAAATAGCAACAAACTTTACTTAAATACAAACTATAAAAAAATAATAATTTAAAAAAAGAAAAACTTACGTCATCTGAGTGGAAGGTTCACCAACAGATTGACCAGCAATGACACCAACGGGTTCGCCAGGCTGTGCAAGACTAGACAAATACTTTTGCCTTACCAACATCAATAAATCATCTTTCTCTTTTTTACCCTTCTGTTTATAACTTTTAACTTTATCTTGAATCCCTTGTGGTAATTCTTGAATGTAAGAATTGAATTCAAGTGGTTCGTTTAGCTTTTGACAAACGATTTCTCGATTAGCTTTGAGAACTTGAACATTATTTAAAAAGCTAGTTTGATGCACATCGACACCATCTTCACCATAATAAAACTGAACAATGGATCCATCAGCATCACGAACTGTGTAATCATATGAAACCTTTAAGCTTTCAAGATTCTTAATAAGACACCTTTGTAAATACCCACTTCTAGAAGTTTTAACAGCAGTATCCACCAACCCTTCACGCCCAGCCATGCAGTGAAAATAGTATTCTTGTGGGCGGAGCCCGGTCAAAAACCGGTCAATGATATAACCGCCTGCCCGAGCGGTGAAATCCCAAGGTGAAAAGCTGGGTAAAGTCTTCCCAGAAACCATTCTGGGCACCCGTTTTCCTTCCAACTCTTGTTGACCAAGTAAAAATGATATTTGTTGGAAATTTACCGAACTACCCTTGGCACCACTGATGGTCATGAGAGAAATGCAGTTTTGTGGAAAGGGTTTCATCAGTCCTTTTGGTAACCATTTTTTGCTGATCATTGAACCTTTATCTCTTAGCTCTGTTTGCATGAGGTTATCTAAACTTGCAGATGCTGTTGCTCCATTGCTTCTTATTATTTTCTCAGTTTCCAATTGCAACTCTCGTGTCCCTATAATTTCACAAATTAACAAATGCAAAAACCCTAATGATTTATAAAAAAAATTGTCAAAGTATATATATACCTAGTTTTTGATTTTCCAGGTTGACAAATTTTCTATGAACTTTTTCACCTACATCTTCACCTTCAAGTTCCATCTTCATTTCTTTGTCACAATCTGGTGACACCATTAGATCATCTAAACCACATGTAAATCCATGGAACTGTAGAATGATTATTACATAAGATTATTAATAACCAATACGAAAAATAATAACAATAAGTTATAAAAATAATTCAATACCTGTAAATAATTAGTGAATAATCGACTAAAAGCTCCAAGTAAAAGCCCTGCAATGTCTGGTCCATATAACTCTTGTACTGTATGAACCAAACCATACTTTCCAAATTGAGCTTTATCTATCACACCACTCACAAGCTCATTTTTCCAAATCAATAATCTTGTTTCATCAATTTCATTTTTCAATTCCACAACCTCTTTCTTTCGTTTTTTATTTTTTTTATTTTTATCCTCTTTTCCTTGAAAATACTGTTCTGGGATCTTCACCTTGTTATCAACAATACAAGGTGTATAACCTCTAGTCAGATGATTCAACAACGCTGTTATCACCTACAAAACACAAACAAAAAGATTCAAAAATTTCAAGAATTTTTATATGTTTGAGAATTTGAATAGAGTCAATATAGTTAAGATTATATAAAATTTATGACCTGTTTTCCTGTCCAAAGAGGCTTTGGCTTCCAGACAGCTGGAAGAACAGGCTTCACAAAGCAGCCTTTATCAGTAAATGAAGTTTTACCATGTCTTGAATTACCTCCATTAAACACACCAGAAGCATAAAGAAGCTGATTGAACTGTTCACGGTTTAAAAATGTGTCTTTCATTGTGAGAAGAACAGAACTGACAATATGATCTTGGATTAAGCCTCTAACAGTATCTCCTCTTGTTGGAACTATATATTGATTGTTTGCATTCACAATGTTATAAGCTTCAGAACGTGAGATTTCATCTTGTGGTAAATGAACATTCATTTCATCTCCATCAAAATCAGCATTGTAGGAACTGAAATTTAAAATCAACACCATGAAACCTAAAAACAATAAAATAATATAATATAACAAACAGAACTATTCTAACCTGCAATTTGCATAATGCATACGAAGAGTTTTCTCCCCTTTTAATACTCGAACTACATGTGCCATAATACTGGGCTTGTGAAGTGTAGGCTGACGATTCACAAGGACAATATCTCCATCTTGTAAATGGCGATAGACGATTTTACCCTCGAAGTCATAGTCACTGCTGTTTTTGGATTGTATAGCTGTGCCTCTAGAAGAAGGTAACTTTCTAGATATAGAAATACGCATCTTTTTGCTTTGAGGTAGTCTCACAGTTGACACCTGTTGATCCCAGATTAGATTGCAATTCTTTAAGATATTATTTACAAAATTAGTCATCATCAAATCCTATCAACACACCTTATCAGCATAATGAGTAGCTCCAGGATGAATATCAGAACCATTAATAATGGAATCTCTTAGTTTCACAACATTCCAAGGAGTCACTCTCTGAAAACAATTTAATCAAAAAATGTTATCTTTAATGAAGATGTAATAAATATACTATGTGCATCAGTAAAAATCAAATTACCTCAGGGTATGTCAACCTTAAGGCAAAATAAGGAGGAACACCGATTTCATTAACAGCTAAATAAGGATCAGGTGAAATGACAGATCGACATGCATAATTGACTCTTTTGCCCATCATTTTTTGACGAAAGATTCCCTCTTTCTTCTCAAGCAACTGGCATATCCCAGTATTCGCATTTTTCAGATTTGGATCTTCCACAAAAAAAAGATGCAATTTTAGTCCATATATCAAAGAAACAAGATAAAAAGATAAAGAAAAAGACTCACTTGTGGCAGTTTTGCTGTCAAATAGAACATTTACAGACTGTTGTAGGTCCCGCCATCGATCAGCAATCTTGGAACCTTCAAGTTTGTTGATATGAGCATTTCCCAATGATATATTTGACTGTAGCACCTTTCCTAGTAACACTGTTTGTGGATTCTCCATCACCTGTATTTCACCAATCATGTATTTAAATAAAAAAACTCAAAAAAGAATAGCATTAAAGTAGAATGTCTTGTATAAGAAAACTTAATACTTACAGCATCACCTGCTTTGGCAGCAGGACGAAATTTTGTAGGGGGGACAAGTAAGGCCTCTAAAAAGAACATGGTGTAACCAGTAGTTTTAAAAGATCCAGTCAGCCTCTCTTGCTGAATATTGCATAGATATGCACAAAGATCAGCTTCATTTTCCCACAAATCTTTCACTATACTTATGACCTGAAATTGTAATTGATAAAGAAATTAGAATCTAGTATGATATAGATCTTGATTGTAGATTACTATGTCTTGGTTTGTACCCTAGATGGTAAAAGAGTGCCTGTGTAGTTGTTCTTCAGCTCTTTGAAGTCAGAGGGCACTTTTGACTTTTTCTTCTTTATTTTCTTTTTGTTAGATGAAGATGGTGAAAATGAATTGGTCCCAGCAGTGTCAACTCTTTCATCTTCTGATACTTCATTGACATTTATAACCTCAGAAGTCTTGTCATCTTCCCCATCTTCTAACTCCTCATCTTGTATACTTCCCAATTTATAACCTTTCATATAGTTCTTTTCAGCATCAGCAACAGTCATTTCCTAAAAAAACATTCATTTACATAACATTACCTCAAGAAAAATATGCAAAATGACTTTGTAAGGGGAGGAAAGAGGAGTGAAACTAACCATACGAAACGATCCAAATGTAGGTTTACTGATCTTTGGGTTCTTAGCTTCACAATTTTTACAAGACTTGCTAGGGTTAGCCAAAAATTCTTTCAAAAGATTCCTTGCTTCTATATATTGAACAGATGTCCAAAAATCATGTTGTGTTTCTTCAGGGCTTTCACTTTGTGAACCAGAATGTAATGTGGAACTTGAACCATGGCTAAAATCATTGTCCTCCAGATCAATGTCTTTGGAATCCGAATTATTGATAACATAATCTTTAGCCCCAGAAACATCACCTTTTGCTATCTTCAATAGTTTAGACGTACAAACATTGACCTAAGGAATAAGATAGTACGCAACATGAGGACAATAAGATACAGGAACAAAATTGAAGAAGAATGTTACAGATTGATGATCTTACCTCTTCTTTTCCTGATCTAAAATGGCGACAAAAGAAGCATGTTTTCCTTATAAGAGTGAAAAGCATATCAAAAAGCAATGGATTGTATACTGGTGAAACAAGATCAATGTGACCACAATGCCCTGGGCATTGAAATGACTGCTGCCCACATGACTTACAGGGTGCTTGTTCATCCATTGGGCCCAACAAAGGATCATACAATCCTCCTGGCATTGGTCTTCCAACACTGTCAAGTAAAATAGGGTTTGTAATCTTTAAAACACTGTGCTTCCTGACCTCTTCATCAGTCATGAAACTGAACCTTACACCCTCCACAATCTCAGACGCACCCTGCAACAATAAGCTTGTAATTAGAGGTTCATAAAGGATCTGAAGATTTCTTGTTTGTCTAACACTCTATGCTAATTGCAAATTTAAGCTCATCATTCTATCCATGGTACTTTACTATAGAGTTTATACTAGTTACACTTGCTACCTCATATACAATAACATTACGCACCAACTAAGCATAGCACACTTCAAAAAAGTATACATATGCACAAGAATTGTTATATATAATATGGTAAATCAATGAAAACTATATTCAGCAACAAAGAGAAAACATGAAACTATGCAAAACTGATTGTCAATAATAAAGCTAAATGTGTGACTGATTTATTATACCTCGGTGGTCTGAGCCATCTTTTACAACTGAACAGCTTCAACGCAAATCGAAAACAGGTATATGTTCCAAAAGATAGGGGAGATGGGAATAGGGGATTCCCCTGTACACCAGACCGATGCTTTGCTCCTACCTGAGTAAGGAGTAAGGAAAAACTAAGAAGTAAGGAACATACACAGATGAGGAAAAGAGAAGGTGCCATTTACATGATGCCAGAGAGCACCAGCGAGAAGCGCAGCCGCCGAAATAGCAGTAGGGATGATAGATTTCCAAATTAAAAGTTAAAAAATACCTCTTTCTAACTTTACGGCGGCAGACAACACCAAGGAGCAGTAAGGGCGGAGCAAGGGTGAGGGGCGACTGATGAGGGCGGAAGAGTGATGGGGATGGAGAAGGGCGGAGGCGCACAGAGGGGCAGGAAGCTGAGAGAGAGCTGAGGGTTTTTCAAGGTTTGCAAATTGCAGGTACGGGTTATAGAGAGGAGTAGGGGTTTAGACTTTAGACGGTCAATTGTCTAAAATAACCCCAAACGTTGTTAAATATATACTTTTACACAAACAAATAAATGAGAGGAATAACACAATGAGAGAAAACAAAGCCAAAAGAATGAAAAGAGATAGAGGGTGTTTGGTTTAGTTTGTGTGCCTTGTAAAAAGATTTTTTATAAAAATTGTTTTTTAAAATGTGTTTAGATTAGTTTTTGAAGGAAAAAAAATCAAAAGTTAAAGTGTTTTGTTTAATTTTTACATGCAAAATGACCAAAAATGACATGTTTATATATTTATTGGGGGTAGATATAAAAGTAAGTTTAATGTTTTACACCGTTGAAAAATTGCAAAAGTCATGATTTCGTGACTTTTCAAAAAGATTAAATTTACTTTATTGGAAAAGTCATTTTGAAAAGTCTTTCTCATCTTTCCAAACATTTTTATGATTTTTTCTAAAATAAAAAACCAAAAGTTATTTTAGAAGTTAAACCAAACACCCTCATAATTTTATTTTTGTGTTTTAGAGGTCGAAAAGAATGATGGGGAATAGACTTGTTTGATGATGCACGATGTAGGTATAACAAGTTGTATATTATATTATTAGGTTACATAATTTTTTTTCAAATAAAATTGCAAAAATATCCTTATGATATGTATTTTTTTAAAGTTTTATTACAATTATGATTTTTTGGCTTTATGGTCATTTTAAACTAGTTTGTATTGAAAATAGTCCCTCTAAAATTTGAAATGATTATAATATCCTTGGGTATTATTTTTTAATTTTTCTTTCATATTTTAAAGCTAATATTTATTTATTTATTTTAACAATTAAAAAATAATAGATGACTCACCTTTCTCTCTCTCTCACACACACACATCGTCTTCTTCCTCAAGAAAACTCACACAATTTCACACATAGATACACATTGTAATTACACACATATACAGACAC